GACATTTGAGTTGGTTCCACTTTTTGGCATTTGTGACTAATGCTCCTGTGGAGTTGATATTTGTATCATGCAAATGGTCAGGAGGGATACAGATGTCAACCTTTATCTTAGCGGAGTTTCACTTTTGTTTATTCTGTAGCACATTCTGTCCAGTGAGCAGTTTCTTTTCTGAGAGGCCTATGTGTCAGCAAAGGCTCAAGGACATGTGTTAAAGCTGATGAGTTGAGAGGTGGCATCAAAAACTTGAGTTTTCTTTTGGACACTTGAAAGCAGTATTTTCAGTTAATGGTGCCAATTCTTGCTTAGTTCTAGAAGTTAGAGTTCATTTTTGATCTAGTTGTTCATTTGCAAATGGATGCCAAAGACTTCTTAGCTCTTCTGTTTACTTGAATAACTTCTTGTCCACATTAATAGAATATACCTGATTACCTATTACCAAGGTGGTGGTTTTCATTTGGGTTAGTCATTTCAGAGAATAAAAACAAATAAAAGTCACAGTGCTTCAGTATTACAGAGTTCAGAATGTGTACCAGAAGGTCATGAGTGTAATAAAAAGTGGTTTACAACCTGCACTGCACTGGGGTGTAACTTTAGGCATAGAGGTATTATGAATTAGTAAATGATTAAGCAAGAGCCTTTTCTGACCAAGGGAAAAAGTGTAGGCAGTGAATGTAAGAAGCTTCGTAACTTCATAAAGAGTGAGAGAAGTCAGGGGATCACTGACATCAACTGTCAATTGTTAGTTAAATCAACAACAGGAGCCACTGTGCACTTGCTCCCCATGTAGGACATCTGTCCTTAATGTGTTGTACTTTGAGAATTAATGGTAAAACTAGTCTTCAAACAGTACTTTATACATTGTGTGTCTGTGTGGGTGCAAACTGTTGGAATATTTACTTAGTGTAGAGTTGATCTTCTGTATATAAAGATAATTGAAAATGAATCTTAATGAAGAATGGGATGGGAGAGGAAGTAAGAGGTGGGATGGTTTGGAGTGGGAGAGCGGGTATAGGGGGAATACCCACTATAATCTAAAAGTTGTACTTATGAAATTTATATTTATTTTTATTTTTTAAAAAAGATTTATTTTATTTATTTGACAGGCAGAGTTACAGAGAGAGGTAGAGACAGAGAGAGAGGTCTTCCATCCCTTGGCTCACTCCCCAGTTGGCTGCAACAGCCGGAATTGCACCAATCTGAAGCCTGGAGCCAGGAGCTTCTTCCGTGTCTCCCACACGGGTGCAGGGGCCCAAGGACTTGGGCCATTTTCTACTGCTTTCCAGGCCATAGCAGAGAGCTAGATCGGAAGAGGAGCAGCCAGGACTAGAATCAGTGCCCATATGGGATGCCGGCGCTCTAGGCCAGGACTTAACCCACTGAGGCACAGCGCCAGCCCCGAAATTTATATTTATTAAATAAAAGCTTTCTGAAAAAAGAGAAGTAAAAGTAAGTTTATATAAAGTCCAAGCAATTAAAAATAGTCATTTTTATAATTAAAAATTTTTTAACAATTTATTTATTTACTTGAGAAGCAGAGTTTCAGACAGAGAGTGAGAAAGAAAGGTCTTCCATCCGCTTCCATCCCCAAATGGCTGCAATGGCTGGAACTGGGCCGATCTGATGCCAGGAGCCAGGAGCTTCTTCCGGGTCTCCCACGCAGGTGCAGGGGCCCAAGCGCTTGGGCCATTTTCCACTGCTTTCCCAGGCCATCAGCAGGGAGCTGGATTGGAAATGGAACAGCCAGGACTCAAACTGGCATCCAAATGGGATGCCAGCACTGCAGGCAGATGCTTAACCTACTGTGCCACAGTGCGGCCTCAAAATATTTTTATTTACCATACTTTTTAAAAAACATTAAAGAATTTTTTTATTAACCATAATTATGCATATTTGTGAGGTACAATGTTAACATTTCAATGCATGTATATAATATATACTGATCAAAGCAGGATAATCAGTGTTTCTTTCTCTTTGATGTTACTTTATGATTGGAGCCTTGGAGCTCCACTCTTCCGTTTGCTCAGAAAATATATAGTAGGTTGTTGTGAACTTTAATCACCCTGCTGTGCTGTGTGGCCCTAGGAACTTCTTCCTTCCGTCTGTGGTTTGGTACCCATTATCCAAGCTCCTTCTATTCCCTCTCCAGTAATTACTATTCAATGTATGTTCAAATTGGCTTTTTATTTTTTTTTAAGAGTTATTTATTTATTTGAAAATCAGAGTTACACAGAGAGGCAGAGAGAGAGGTCTTCCATTCGCTGGTTCACTCCCCAGTTGGTTGCAATGGCTGGAGCTGCGCCAATCTGAAGCCAGGAGCCGGGAGCTTCCTCCAGGTCTCCCACGTGGGTGCAGGGGCCCAAGGACTTAGGCCATTTTCCACTGCTTTCCCAGGCCAAAACAGAGAGCTGGATCGGAAGAGGAGCATCCGGCTCTCGAACTGATGCCCATATGGGATGCCGACACTGCAGGTGGCACCTTTTACTCACTAAACCACAGAGCTGGCCCCAAATTGGCTTTTTTTAAAGCTTCTACATATGCAGGAGAATATGTGGCACTTGTCTTTCTGTATCTGGTTTATTTCACGTAACAACGTCCTTCAGTTCCATCCATTTTATTGCAGATGACAGGATTTCACTTTTCAAAAAAAATGACGGAATAATATTCCATTTTGTGGAATATTATTACACACCGCATTTTCTTTACCCATTTATTTGTTGATGGACTCCTTGGTTGATTCCCTTTATTGGCTATTGTGAATAGTGCTATAATACACATGGTGATGCAGGTATCTGTTTGATACAATGATTTCATTGCTTTTGGGTATATACCCAGTAGTGGGATTGCTGTATCATATGGCAGTTCTATTTCTAGTGTGTTAAGGACTCTCTATACTGTTTTCCATAGTGGCTGTACTGATTTACATACCTCAGCCCACCGTGTATGAGTTTCCCTTTCTCCATCAGCATTGTCATTTTATATCTTTTTGATAATAGCCATTTTAACTCATTAGCTAGTGATATTGAGTATGTTTTCCATATGTTTGTTGGATTTATTTATTTATTTGAAAGTCAGAGTTACACAGAGAAAGGAGAGGCAGAGAGAGAGGGAGAGAGAGAGAGAGAGAGAGGTCTTCCATCTGATGGTTTACTACCCAGTTGGCTGCAATGGCCGGAGCTGCGCTGATCCAAAGCCAGGAGCCAGGAGCTTCTTCCTGGTGCAGGGGCCCAAGCACTTGGGCCATCTTCTACTGCTTTCCCAGGCCATAGCAGAGAGCCGGATCAGAGGTGGAGCAGCTGAGTTTCGAACCGATGTCCATATGGGATGCTGGCGCTTCAGGCCAGGGTGTTAACCCGCTGTGCCACAGCACCGGTCCCTGTTTGTATTTATTTGAGATATGTCTCCTCAGATCTTTTGCCTCTTTCACGACTGGGTTGGTTATTTCATTGATGAATTTTTTGAATTCCTTATATATTCTGGGTATTAATATTTTGTTGCAAATGATTTCTCCCATTTTGTTAGTTGTCTGTTCACGCTGTTCATTGTTTCTTTTGCTGTGCAGAAGCTTCTTAGTTTGATATAATCTTGTTTGTCCAGTTTTGCTAACAATCAGGCAAATTAACACAAATAAATCAACAACTGGAAAGGTTTCATTTATCCGGGATAGGGTTCAGAGTTTGTAAAATGATTAATCATTGAAATGTAATGTTTCTGTGTGCTTGTTTGTGTTGGTTTATAACTGGTTCCTTTTAATGTTAGTGTTGGGAATGTTCCCAAGGTTTTGTCCAACATTTAGCAAGGTGAGGATGGCTCTAAACTTGGTTCCCCAATTGTGCAGGCAGTTATGGGACACCTACTGCTGATGTTTGTCAGAAGAAGGAAGTTGGATTTGGCCAATAAACTCCCTATTGGGAAATATTGTTGTTTCATAGCAGATAATGGATTAATAGTAGCCAATGTGCTCTACAGATGCAACACTGTTCTTAGTGGGCTTAGTCTTGTTTATCAGGCCATATTAAAGGTGTCTCAATGTTATTATCATCACTACGGAGTTCTCAACAAATGAATGAATAGAGGCTTAGGGGTTTTACTGAGCCTTGTCTGAGCACATAGGAGGGGCAAAGCCAGGATTTGACTGCGGGACTGACCTTAAAACTGGTGTGCAGTCTACTTCCCTACTTCTCTAGTACATCAACTCGAAGTGCAAGTGGAAGACATTTACTGTGGAAGATTAAATTTCATCTACAGTTGAAGTTCTTGAATTTTGTTTTAAAAACTATGTTCTCGTTAGGGCCTATTTCTGGGAATTGGGTTCTTAGCGTGTAATCACTTTGATCCTCATTGCAGTATGACCTTAAGTAACTTCTTAATCTTTCTTGAGCAGATTTTGCCCAGGTAAGAATGTCGTATGACTTGTTAAGCATACTTCAGGTTCCTAAAGATGTCTTCTATACAGCCTTCAAGAAGAAAGGCACCATAATCTGGTCACCGGGAGTGTTAAATTCTGCTCCTTCTCTACCACTGATTTTTTTCTTTTTGTGATTTTAAGTTTAACAGATTGGATGACTGATTATTTTCTTATCTAACAACAGGGTTAATAATTTGCCTTCTGATGTTGAATCTCAGTGAAGGAGAGGCAATAGCTTTTCTAGATCCAAGAGGTATTGTGACCCAAGCAAAGCATCAAATCAGAAGTCAATGCCTGGGCTGGTGGTCTGGTTCTGCCACCTGCTAAGCCACATGACTTGAAAGCTGCTTCACCCTTCCCTCACCCCCTCTATCAGCCTTGAGGGGTATGAGAATTAAATGAGAGGTTGTGTCTGAAGATGTATTTTTATACTTTAAAGGTTATATAAGAGAAAATGATTAACCTCAGAGTACCATGAGATTATATTTGGAAACCATCGATTTGATTTGTGTTTTGTTTTTCATTTTTGGATTTCTTAGGTGACATTTTAGTTGTGTGTTTAAATTTTTTTTTCTTTTCTTTTTTTTCCCCCTAGTGGTATGTGTGCAACAGAGAGAAATTATGTGAATCACTCCAGGCTGTCTTTGTTCAGAGTTATCTTGATCAAGGAACACAGATCTTCTTAAACAACAGCATTGAGAAATCGGGCTGGCTATTTATCCAATTATATCATTCTTTCGTGTCATCTGTTTTTAGCCTGTTTATGTCTAGAACATCTATCAATGGGTAAGTGAATCTTGCACATATTTTTTTTATCCTTGGGTTTAAAAAAGGAGACATGAAAAATCCCCTTGTTCAACATATTGACCACCTCAGCAGCAACACTTCAAAATCCTTGGCAGTGTGGCAGTGTCCCAGCCTGCTGCAGTTTATGCTTTTTATTTTTATTAGCAGTTAGCATGCTAATGAAGCCTAATGAAGAGAATACTCCTGATGGGCCAGCTGGGCATCTCAGCAAAGAACTGAGAGCCCTGTCTGCATGCAGACTGTAGTTTTTTTTTTTTTTTTTAACAAACATTTCAGGTTTTTTTTTTTTTAAGATTTTATTTATTTATTTGAGAGGTAGAGTTATGGACAGAGAGAGGGAGAGTCAGAAAGAAAGGGCTTCTGTCTGCTGGTTCACTCCCCAAATGGCGACAGTGGCTGGAGCTGGGCTGATCCAAAGCCAGGAGCCAGGAGCCAGGAGCCAGGAGCTCTATCCAGGTCTCCCACATGGGTGCAGGGGCCAAAGCATTTGGGCCAACTTCTGCTTTTCCAGCAGAAAGCTGGATCAGAAGAGAAGCAGCCGGGACACAAACCAGTGCCCATATGGGATGCTGGCGCTGCAGGCAGAGGCTTAAGCTCACTAAACCACAGTACTGGCCCCAGGCTGTAGTCTTTATAGATATTGATTCATAGCACTTGAGAAATAGCCTCACAAGTCTGTATTTCTATGGTGGGAATTACTTAGGGCAGTGTTTCTCAGCTTTGAGGTACATAGCAGTGACCTGGGGGATCTTGTTAAAATGCAGATTATGAGTCAGTATGTCTGGGGTGGGTCCTGAGGTTCTATGTTTTTTTTTGTTTTGTTTTTTAAAGATTTATTTATTTGAGGGCCAGCACTGTGGTGCAGTGGGTTAACTCCCTGGCCTGAAGTGCCGGCATCCCATATGGGTGCAGGTTCTAGTCCCAGCTGCTCCTCTTCTGATCCAGCTTTCTGCTATGGCCTGGGAAAGCAGTGGAAGATGCCTCAAGTCCTTGGGCCCCTGCACCCATGTGGAAGATCCAGAGGAAGCTCCTGGCTCCTGGCTTTGGATCGGCGCAGGTCCAGCTGTTGTGGCCATCTGGGGAGTGAACCATCAGATGGAAGACATCTCTCTCTGTCTCTACCTCTCTCTGTAACTCTGTCTTTCAAATAGATAAAAATAAATCTTTAATAAAAAAGTATTTATTTATTTGAAAGGCAGAGCCACAGAGAGAGAAAGGTAGGGGAAAGAGATCTTCCATCTGCTGGTTCTCTCCCCAAATGGCTGCAACAGCCATGTCTGGGCCCAGGAGCCAGGAACTTCATTGGGTCTCCCACATGGGTGGGTGGAGGGTTGAGTAATTAAGCCATTTTCTGCCTTCCCAGATGCATTAGCAGGAGGCTGGATCAGCACTCTGATATGGGTTGTCAGTGTTGTAAGTGGTGGCTTAACCAGCTGTACCACAATGCTGGCTCTAGGTTCTGCATCTTTTAAAAAAATTTTTTTTTAAGATTTTTATTTATTTATTTGAAAGACAGTATTACAGAGAGAGAAGGAGAGAGAGAGAGAGCGAGATCTTCCATCCCCTGGTTCATTCCTCAAATGGCCTCAATAGCTGGGGCTGGGCCAGGCTGAAGCCAGGAGTCTGGAACCCCATCTGGGTCTCAGGTGGGTGCAGGGGACCAAACACTTGGGTGATCCTTTGCTGATTTCTCACGTGCATTAGCAGGGAGCTGAATCAGAAGTGGAATAACTAGGACTCTAATCAGTACTTATAGGGGCTGCTGGCATTGCAGGAAGCGACTTAACCACTGTACCATAACACCACCCTTTGTACTTGTTTTTATGTCATGTCTCTCTTTCTCTCTCTCTCTCTTTTATTTTTATTTATTTATTTATTTATTTGGACAGGCAGATTTAGACAGAGAAAGAGAGAGAGACAGAGAGAAAGGTCTTCCTTCCATTGGCTCACCCCCAAAATGGCCGCCACGGCCAGTGTGCTGCGGCTGACATGCTGCGGCGATCCGAAGCCAGGAGCCAGGTGCCTCTCCCTGGTCTCCCATGCTGATGCAGGGACCCAAGCACTTGGGCCATCCTCCACTGCCCTCCTGGGCCACAGCAGAGAGCTGGACTGGAAGAGGAGCAACTGGGACAGAATCCGGCGCCCCAACCGGGACTAGAACTCGGGGTGCCAGTGCTGCAGGCCGAGGATTAGCCAAGTGAGCCGTGGCGCCGGTCTCTCTCTCTCTCTCTCTCTCTATTTTTTTTTTTTTTTTTTTTTTGTTAATGTACTTATTTGAAGGGCAGAATTACGGGGGCTTGGCAGGGAGGGGAATGGTTCACTCCCCAGTGGCTGTAACAGCTTGGGCTGGACCAGGCCAAAGCCAGGAGCCAGGTGCTTCATCTGAGTCTCCCACTTGGGTGCAGGGGCCCAAGTGCTTGGGCCAGCATCCACTGCTTTCCCAGGATAATTAACAGGGAGCTGGATCTGAAGTGGAGCGTCTGGGGCTTAAACCGGAGCCCATATGTGATGCTGGTGTTTTAGGTGGTGGCTTAATCTGCTGTACCACAACTCCAGCCCCATAACTTTTCAAACATCCCAATATCCTAGAATCCAGAAAGCCAAAGAGAAGAGCAAGAGGCTTGGTGCTTAAAAAGCCTTATTGGACCCATGAGGCTGCTGTTTACTTTAGGATACTGTTGCGACTCAACCTTAAACTTTGTGCCTGACACTGGGTCATACTGATTTCTCTTCTATACCCTTTGTTATTTCTTTGGAAACCAGAGGAGTCACTGCAGCACAGATCCTTGTCCTTTCTGGGGTCCTGTACCTTTTTGACAGTGATAAATAGGAGTTTCTCTTCAGAAAGTATTTACATTTACCATTTTGAATATAATTTCAGAATTACAGACTTCGAATCACTTTCCCCTTTCTCTACCCAGTGGACTCTGGTTAGAACTCCCTGCTCTGGAATTTCAGTTTAATCAAAGAAGCAATGAAACAAACTCCTTTTGGCTTTCCTTGTCTATAACTCTTGTGCTTTTTTCTTTTGAGGGCCTCCCCCCACTTACACCCCCAACCCCAAACCCTATACCTCTTGCCCTGTGTTCTCAGGTAACAACTTAATTTCAAGCCCCTTGCTCCTTTCTATGCATGGCAGTGGTAGATGATTACAAATGTCTTACAGAATTATTACTATGGTATCTTCTTGAATTAAGGTACGTATCAGACTTCCTTATGTCAGAAAGGAGAAAGCCAAGTAAGGAGAGACTTGATGGCTGTTTTCAGAGTTTATTTTATGAGGACGAGGCATCCCTGTAAGATGAACTGAGGCTGGCTGGAGGACCTGAGATGGTTACTCAACGCTAAAATTAAAGAGACTGGAGAGCCACATCTGCCTGTGGTATGTGTTTACAGGAAACCTCGCGTTGGCTAAGTCACTTAGTATTTTAGGTGGCAGCTTTCTTCATGGACTGCCCCACACATTGCAGAAGTCTAACTTTTCTGGCCTTATCCCGTAAATGACAGTGACACTCGTAAGTCATTGTAATGACTCAACACCCTCCCGTTGTCCCCTAGAGGGCAGAATCAGTCCTGGTTGATAAACACTAGACTTGAAGGATTTTGATTTATTTATTTTTTGGCAGTGTTAATCTTTTTATGGGGCCCCTGTTGCTCATGTTCTTTGGAAATTGGACAATGTGTCTTCTTTCCCTCTGGTGCCCTGAAATACAGACCCAGTCAGATGACCTCATGAGCTCTAACCCCAGTTGGCCTCTAGCTGTAGACTTTTACAATTATCATGTCAAGGTTCCTCATTTCCCAAGGAGACTGAAGCGTGTGTTACTTTTTAGCTAGGAAAGTTTAAGCAAGATAATGACTCTGTTACTGAGTTTGAGTCCTGTGGCAAGTCAGCCTTGACATTGGAAGTATGCTGCCCTCAGCTGGGCCTCTTGCTCTCTCTGGGTCCTGGGTCCTGTTTTGGACAGCTCTTTCAGCTGGTTAAGCCTAGTTTCTCAGATCTGGTTTTCCATTAGAATGTATGAGCAATTGAGGATTAATAACAACTTGTCTTTGATAAAGTAGGGCTTTTCTTTGGTAGGCAGTTGCAACAGGTAATGTGTTCAGTGGTCTCTGGTTTCTTCTCCTTTCTCACTTTTTTTAGCATTTCTCTGGGGTAGTAGAGTAGATTATTAAATTTGGTTAAATCCTTCTATGGCCTTAATGGGAAAATGGGAGGGGGACCTGTTACGTATACTCCATTTTTAAAAATTTTTTCCTGAAACTGTTCTGACTGCGAGCACCATGTTGCCTGGAGGTGCAGTGGTAACACTTGTCCCAGCCACTAGGTAGCAAACAGACTGTGCCCATGGTTATTTCTAGGAAGCACAGTGCACTGCAGATGTCTCTGCCACATTGCAGACCTGTGGTTTCAAACTGTTCCCATGGACTGAGGAGGAAGTGCCTCAGCAGCTGCTTCAGGCTGCAAAGGAAGGCTGAGAAATGGGCTGGTGGCAGCTCGCTTTCTCAAACCTCATTCCCACAACAGTAGTTCTCAGGATTTGCTTTCTACTTCTTTTTTTTTTTTTTTTTTTTTTTTTAAAGTTATAGGTTTTTTTCTCTGGTTAAAAAATAAATTATTTTTAATCCTACTACCAGGGATAATTACAGTAGTCTTTGATATACCTCTCTCCAGGCTAGATTATATTAAGTCTTTTTAGAATCATTTAGTATTTTTCCACTTAAAGTATTTTTTTTTATCTTTTATTTAATGAATATAAATTTCCAAAGTACGGCTCATGTGTTACAATGGGCTTTCCCCCCATGCGGTCCTTCTATCACAGCCTTCCGTTTTCCACTCCCTCTCCGTTTCATACATCAGATGGCTGTCTACTTCTTGAAAGAATTCTACTGCTTAAACAGTTTGAGAATCCCTGCCCTAGACAGACTAAGGTTGGAGAGCTAGAAAACAAGTTCTAAACAGGGAGTGCATTTTGTTTCCCAAAGTGATGCTCCCATTAGACTTAGTCTGAGCTATGGCTGCTTTTCTGACAGGTCTCTTTGATTTCCATTTAAATTCCTCTTAGTGTCTTTTCAAAGTCATTGCTATGGTTTTGAGTGTATTTTAGGACTTTTAGAAATATTTGGACCAAGGACAGGTATTTGGCCTGGCGGTTAAGCTGTGGTTTGGAATGCTGGAGTACCTGGGTTCAAGTCCTAGCTCTGCTCCTGACTCCAGCTTCCTGCCAGTGGGCACCCTGGGGGGCAGCAGGTGATGACTCAAGTGGTTGTGTTCCTGCTGCCCATGTGGAAGACACAGCTGGAGCTCTGGGCTCCCAGCTGTTCTGGCACTGGGAAGTGAAATAGCAGGTGAGTTCTTTCCATCTCATTGTCTTTATCTCTCTCTGTTTTTCTGCTTCTTAAATACATAAATAATTTTGAAAAAAATAATAGGCCCCAGACAGTTGTAAAACATAAAAAGTTTGGGGCTGGCATTGTGGTATAGCAGGTAAAGCCACTGGTGACACTGGCATCCCATGTGTGCACCAGTTCATGTCCCAGCTGCTCCACTTCTGATCCAGCTCCCTGCTAATGGTTTGGAAAAAGCAGCAGGGGGTAGCTCAAGTGTTTGGACCCCTGCCATCCATGCAGCAGACCCTAATGAAGCCCCTAGCTCCTGGCTTTGGCCTGGCCCAGCCCTGGCTGTGGCAGCCATTTGAAGAATACACCTGTGGATAGAAGATTTCTGTCTATCCCTCTGACTCTTTTAAATAACTAAATAAGTCTTAAAAACCGTAGAAAGTAACACAAGGATGAATCTACTTTAATGGAAACTGCTCTTAGAAGGACTACTCTTTTTTTTTTTTTCTGAGTCTTAAAAATCTATGATCCTGAAGCTGTTTTATTTTTCCTCACCCATTGTGTGATTCCATGTTCTTTTTGCCCTCTGAATTCTCTGCCTAGTGTTACTGCTTCATGCAGTGATCTCATTCTCTTAACATGCTTTACTTTCCCCACCTTTCTTTTCTGTTTTGGCTTAAATTCTTCACATTCATCTTTTAATTTTTCTTTTCCCTTCTCATCCTTTTCCTTTTCCATCTTTTTCTTCTCTCCTTTCCTATGCCTTTTGGATATTAGTGGCAAAATCAAATGGTGATATCTGGAGATATTTTCTTATTTTATTAATTTTGTTTTTAGTCATAAACCATATACATTTTTATTAACATATATATTTTATAAGTTAAAAAGATAGGAGCTGGCATTGTGGTGTAGTGGGTAAAGCTGCCACCTGTGTTGCCTGCATCCCATATGGGTACCTGTTTGAGTCCTGGCTCCTCCACTTCTGATCAAGTTCCCTGCTAACACACTTGGGAAAGCAGTGGAAGGTGACCCGAGTCCCTGGGCCCCTGCATCCATATGGGAGAACCAGAAGAAGCTCCTGGCTTTGACCTGGCCCAACCCTTGTTGTGGTCAACTAGAGAGTGAATCAAAGATTTCTCTCTCTCTCTCTCTCTCTCTTTGTGTCTATCTCTCCTTTTTTTTTTTTTTTAATTAATTAATTTATTTGAAAGTCAGAGTTACACAGAGAGAGGAGAGTCAGAGACAGAGAGGTCTTCCATCCAATGGTTCATCTCCCAATTGGCTGCAACGGCCAGGGCTGCGCTGATCCAAAGCCAGGAGCCAGGAGCTTTTTCTGGGTCTGCCACGCAGGTGAAGGAGCCCAAGGACTTGGGCCATCTTATACTGCTTTCCCAGCCCATAGCAGAGAGCTGGATTGGAAGTGGAGTAGCCAGGTCTCGAACTGGCATCGATATGGGATGCCGGCGCTTCAGGCCAGGGTGTTAACCCACTGCACCACAGCGCCGGCCCCTATCTCTCCCTTTCAAATAAATAAAATAAATCTTTAAAAAAAAGAAGTTAAAAAGGTTGTTAGCACTCAGTTTGCATATATATGTATATATACCCTTCCATTTTTGTCCTCTGTTTCTTTCAGGTTACTAGGAAGAGGCTCAATGTTCGTGTTTTCACCAGATCAGTTTCAGAGACTGCTTAAAATTAATCCAGACTGGAAAACCCATAGACTTCTTGATTTAGGTGCTGGAGATGGAGAAGTCACAAAAATCATGAGTCCTCATTTTGAAGAAATCTACGCCACTGAGCTTTCTGAAACTATGATATGGCAGCTTCAGAAGAAGAAATACAGGTAGAGTTTCTAGACAGGATTTGGGATGTTTTGCTTGGCTTCAGATATGTTTCTTCTGGAAAGTATATTATTAAAAGAATATGGATCAGAAATAATTTCCCATGATTATGAATTAAGAACAAAACCCTTTCTTTACACAATTAAGTAGAAATTTGGCGAGAAATAATCTTTCCATGATAGTATTTTTCTGGAACAAAGGACTTGACACTGCAGGGAGTTTACTCTTTTTAGAGCTGAGACATAACCTGGAAAAGGCAGATCAGATGTAGGGATTTGTTCCCTGATGAGAATCTGGCGTCCTCAAATCTTGTGTTTTCAAATTGTAGTAAAATATACATAACAATATTTACCATCTTGATGATTTTTAAATATGGTAAGTGCATTCACATTATTGTATAGCCATCCCCAGCATCCATCCCCACAATGTTTTTCATCTCCACAAACTGAAACTAGATGCATTGAAGAGTGATTCTGTTTTTCCCTCCCGATCTCTCCCTGACAACCACCATTGTTCGTTCTGTCTTTATAAAGGTGACTACCTTAGGCACCCTAAATAAGGGGACTCACATGGTCCCTTTCTGATTATATTCTTTGGTTACCGTGTCTTCAGGTCTCCTCTGTGTTGTAGCATGTGTTCCAATTTTCTTTGAGGCTGAATAGTATTTCTTCGTTTGCATGTTCCACATATTTTGTTAACTCATTCGTCTTTTGATGAATACTTGAGTTGCTTCTGTTATATGAATAATGCTGCTATGAATTTGGTTGTACAACTATTTATTTGAGTCCCTGCTTTCACTTCTTTGAGGTGTATACACAGAAGTGCATTGCTGGGTCACATGGTAAGTCTGTGTTTAATTTTATGAGGAATTACCATAACTTTTCCATAGCAGCTGCAACAGCAATATGCAAGGACTCCGGTTTATTTGCATCCTTGACCATCTTTGCTATTTTCTGTTTTGTTTAATAATAGCCAACAATGATAATGGGTGCAAAATAACAAATATTTTAAGATCATCAGGTGCTTCAATATGGGTTCTATTTGTTGGAGCATTTCTTGTGTTGATTGAGTGGAGAATATGGGCTATGTAGCTGGAGCCTAGTCCTCTGTGGTAGTCTGGAAGCTTGGCTTAGCCTTAAAGAGAGAGGCTATCACTTTGCTATCCACACGTTCCTGCTATTGCTGACTAACTTAGAGACAGAACATCAGCATAGCTTTGGGTGCAGGACTGAAACATTTTCAAAGCATGGAAATTTTTTGTCTGGAGAAAGGAAGATTACTGTAAACAGATACTGGCTGAGATTTTACATAGAAGGAAGGAGTCAGTATAGGCTCTGATATAATCAGGCACAGTTGGTTAAGTTCTAGGTTTGGGAGACTGACTTTCCTAACTGCTGCAGCCATCTAAATCCTCACCACTGTCAGTGGTTAAACAGCTGTGAAAGGAGGAGACTAACATAGGACTGAATTTGAACTAAGTGATTCCTAAGCCTGGCTTTGCTCTGGGAATCTGCTTCACTTAGGTCCTTGTGGTCTGTCTGTGTGGGAATAATTGAAATGTGTTCCTTCCATTAACAATTTTAATTCACTATTTCAAAACTTAGAGTGAATTTTTAAGATTTGTTTATTATAGGGGGAGAAAGGATAGGAGGGAGGGAGGGAAAGAGAGAGATGTCTTCCATCTGCTGGCACACTACCCAAATGGCCAAAACAGCCAGGGCTGGGCTTGGCCAAAGCCAGGAGCCAGGAGCCAGGGATTCCAACCAGGTCTCTCACTTGAGTGGCAGCAGCCTGAGCACTCAGCCCATCTGCTGCTGCTGTCCAATCCAGCAGGAATATGGGATGCTGGTGTTGCAGGCAGTGGCTTAACTCACTGTGCCACAAGTCTGGCCTTTTTGTTTTAATAATGGCTTAAATCATGCTGAATTCTTAGTCTGAACCCCTGCTTCTCCCCTCTACCCTTAAAAAATAGTCAGTGCTTTGAAATAGGTCTAAGGATAGGGAGGGTGTTTTAAACTTGTCTTCAAATGATTGACACACACATCTCTTTTCTTGCTTTTAATCTTTGTGCCTAAGTGGAATTTTCTGTGAAACTTTAGATGTTTGAATTAGTCATTCAGTATATCTGGAGTTAACATGTATGTAACCTAGTAAATATGTCCACCACATAGAAAATACTTTCTTTTTTTTTTTTAAAGATTTATTTATTTGAGATGCAGTTACAGACAGAGAGAGGGAGAGACAGAGAGGTCTTCCATCCGCAGGTTCACTCCTCAATAAGGCTGCAACGGCCGGAGCTGGGCCAATCCAAAGCCAGGAGTTTCTTCCAGGTCTCCCATGTGGGTGCAGGGGCCCAAGGACCTGCGTCATCTTCCACTGCTTTTTCAGGCCATCAGCAGGAAGCTGGATCAGAAGTGGGGTAGCCAGGGCTCAAACTGGTACCCATATGGGATGCCAGTGCCACAGGCCTCATGTTTTCTTAATATATAACACATATGCCAAAATCTGCAGTTGGCCTCCATGAGAAATTCAGACAGGTCAGCATTCCTTCCATGTGTCCATAAAACACAAAATGTGCTCTGAAGGTAGTAGGCTTAAAATTTTAAAGAGGAAGTCATATCTTATTTAAGTTTAGGGTTCTGTCAGTTCACCTTGGCTAGGCAATTGACAGCTTAATTCCACATTTTTTTGCTTCTTCTTGAGATGTAACTGTTTTTTGTTTCTCTTCAATATGAAGCCCATGAAAAACAGGCTTTTTAATAAAGATTTTGGATAGCAGTTTTGAAAGAGAAAATGGCTAAATTTTTGCTCTGTGTTTCCAGATGTGATTGTTTATGCCAGAAGACTCTAGTGTAAAATTTAAGGCTGTGGCTCTAGTTCTTAAAACACAACATTAACTTTTCTTTATGTTGTTGGTGTTTTGTTTTTTATTTAGTAATTGTCAAAATATTGATTGCTATGTCATCCTTTAAGGAAAATGCTATTTTATTTATTATTTTATTTATTTGAGAGGTAGATTTATAGACAGAGAGAAAGATCTTCCATCCTCTGGTTTACTCCCCAAATGGCTGCAATGGCTGGAGCTGGGCCAATCCAAAGCCAGGAGCCAGGAGCTCCTTCCAAGTCTCTCACGTTGGTGCAGGGGCTCAAGCACTTGGGCTGTCTTCTACTGCTTTCCCAGGCTATAGCAGAGAGCTGGATCAGAAGAGGAACAGCCGGGACTTGAACTGGTGTCCATATGGAATACTGGCACCGCACACAGAGGCTTAGCCCACTATGCCACAGCGCTAGCCCTGGAAAGTACGGTTTTAAATTTTCCAGGAAGGAGAAATATTCATTAACTTATTTCCTTGAAGACAAGAATCCCCTGAACCAGATGTCTTGCTTCTAAGGGTTAGAAAAGCCACAGATCGGTGCTGGCCTTGTGGTGTAATGGGTAAAGCTACCACCTGCAATGTTAGTTTCCTATTTGGGCTCCAGTTCCTGTCTTGACTGCTCCACTTCCAATCTAGCTCCCTGCTAATGGCCTGGGAAAAGCAGCAGAAGATGGCTCAAGTTCTTTGGCCCCTACTACCCATGTGAGAGATCTGGAAGAAGCTCCAGGCTTCTGGCTTCAACCTGGCGTGGCCCTGGCCATTTCAGACATCTGGGGAGTGAATCAGAGGATGGAAGATCTCCTTGTCTGTCTCTCTCGTTCTTTCAAATAAATTAAAACAAAAAAAATTTTAAGGAAACCATAGACATAGGAAAGGGCATATAATTAATTATTTTTAAAATTACTTGTTTTTAATTATTTGAAAGGCAGAGAGACAGATCCTCCATCTGCTGGTTCACTAACCAAATGCCCACCACAGGCAGGGATGAGCCAGGCAGAAGCTAGGAGCTGGGAACTCCATCTGGGTGTCAGAGACGCAAATATTCAAGCCATTACTTGCTGTCTCCCAGGATGCATTAGTGTGCAGTTGGGTCAGAAGCAGAGGAGCCAGGACTGGAACTGTCCATCTGATGTGGAGCATGGGCATCTCATGCAATGGCTTAACATGATATACTTCGTCTTCCCTTTGTTCCTTTTTTTCAGAGGTGCTGTACAATATTATATCAATGAGTTTTCAAAGTTTTCATATACCTTTAGAATTTTCAGAGATGTCTCTGTTGTGCCTGCTTAGCATTATTAAAAGCTTGTTTAACAAAGATTCTTTTCCATATTTTCTTGTCCCCCTCTTATCTCATGACATGTCTTTCTACCACATTCTGATTGTGTAACCATGCAAAAATAAGTAATTTATAGAATTGCCTCAATGGTGTGGCTAGCAAAGACTGTTACTATAAAAACTCCTCTGTTCTGTAGAGGAAAGCATTGGAAAGAAATGTTCTGTGTGTGTGGTTAGGGTTTAGAATGATTCTTTAACTGTTCTTCACTTAGGTTTTTTTTTTTAAAAATATTTATTTATTTGAAAGAATTATGCAGATAGAGAAGGAGAGTCAGAGAGAGAGAGAGAGAGAGAGAGAAATCTTCCTTCTGCTGGTTCACTCTCCAGTTGGCTGCAATGACTGGAGCTGAGCCATCTGAAATGAGGAGCCAGGAGCTTCTTCGGGGCCTCACACACGGGTGCAGGGGCCCAAGGACTTGGGCCATCTTCTGCTACTTTCCCAGGCCATAGCAGAGAGCTGGATGGGAAGTGGAGCAATGGGGACTCGAACCAGCGCCCATATGGGATGCCGGCACTGCAGGCGGTGGCTTTACCCGCTATACCAAAGTGCCAGCCCCCTTCACTTAATTTTTTTTTTTTTTTTTTAAGATTTATTTGAAAGAGTTACAGAGAAAGGCAGAAGCAAAGAAAGAGGTTTTCCATTCGCTGGTTCACTCCCCAATTGGCCGCAACGGCTGGAGCTGTGCCAGGAGCCAGAAGCTTCTCCCAGGTCCCCCACATGGGTACAGGGACCCAAGGACTTTGGGCCATCCTCTACCGCTTTCCCAGGCCATAGCAGAGAGCTGGATCGGAAGAGGAGCAGCCAGGACTAGAACCATTGCCCATATGGAATGTCAGTGCCTCAGGTCAGGGCTTTAACCCACTGCACCATTGCGCCAGCCCCTCACTTAGATTTAATAGGATGTTCTGTGTTTTAGCTTTTCCTTTTTGGTTATTCAGATATGAAGATTCTATAATATAAAGTGTCTCTCTCCTGGGAATAGAGATGCACTCAAAAGGTCATGGGTTATAAGTGGAAATTATTTTATCCACTCCCATTCTTAAGAATAAGAGGGGAGGTGTGGAGAGTTCAGCATAGTATTTAAGATGCTGCTTGGAATGCCTACAATCCCGTATTGGAGTGCCCGAGTTCAGGTTCCTCTTCGGCTTCCTACCCAGTTTCCTGCTAATGCACACACTGCGAGGCAGCAAGTGATGCCTCAAGTATTTGGATCTCTGCGACTTTGTGGGAGGCATGGACTGAGTTCCAGGCTCCTAACTTCAGCCTGGCCCAGTCTCAGTGGTTGTGGACATTTGGAGAGTGAATCAGCAGATAGATGATCTTTCTCTGTTCTTTTTGCCTCTCAAAAAATCAAAATTAAATTAAAAAAATAAAAAAAGGAACCCTAGAAATATAAAGCATGAACATGTGATGTATTTTATGATTAAATTCTAATGAATATTAAAAATAACTTCTTTTCTCATTAATTGATGTTTAAAATTTTATCCTACTTTCATATTTACTTGTAAAGAAAATTTCGTATGTTTTGAGAGTTGCAAATATGTAAAATTCTAAGTTTAAAGAAATATAATTGTTTTTCTCTTGGCCTTGTTAATTGCAGATATAGATTATCAGTAAGATTTTTTTTTAAAGATTTATTTATTTATTTGAAAGGCAGGGTTCCAGAAGCAGAGGTAGTGAGAGAGAGAGGTCTTCCATCCAGTGGTTCACTCCCCAGATGGCTGCAATGCCAGAGCTGGGCCAATCTGAAGGCAGGAGCCAGGAGCTTCTTCTAGGTCTCCCACGTGGGTGTATGGGCCCAAGGACTTTGGCCATCTTCTGCTACTTTCCCAGGCCATAGGAGGGAGCTGGATTAGAAGTGGAGCAGCTGGTAATTGAGGGTACTTGAACCAGTGCCCATATGGGATGCTGGCACTGCAGGTGGCAGCTTTACCTACTACATCGCAATATCAGCCCCATAAGCAAAGATTTTGAATTTACTTTGATTTAGCAGACAAAGAGCAGCATCTCAGTTATTTATAAAGCTGTTTGTTGTGGCTGGTGCTGTAGGTTAAATCTGCAGTGCTTAATTATCAGTGCTTAACTATCTGCAGTGCATCCTATGTGGGTGCCTGTTTGAGTCCTGGCCACTCCACTTCCGATCCAGCTCCCTGTACTTGCATGGGAGACCAGGAAGAAGTTCCTGGCTCCTGGCTTCACATTGGCCCAGCCATTTGGGGAGTGGACCAGCAGATCGAAGGAAGGCCTTTCCTTCTGTCTCTCCTTCTCTCTGTCTATAACTCAGCCTCTCAAGTAAATAAATAAATCCTTTTTCTTTTTAAAGATGTTTGAAGGAGGTTTATTAATCCAGTTCTTTCTGGATTTTCTAGAGTGCTGGGTATAAATGAATGGCAGAATACAGGGTTCCAATATGATGTCATCAGCTGCTTGAATTTGCTGGACCGCTGTGACCAACCTCTGACTTTGTTAAAAGATATCAGAAGTGTCTTGGAGCCAACTAGAGGCAGAGTCATCCTTGCCCTGGTCTTACCATTTCATCCCTATGTGGAGAACGGTAAGTGTGGTCAGGCCAGGTCGTACCCTGGATGGCTGTTGATTAGTTTTGGGATTTATTTAATGTGTTTATAAGTGTCTATTTCTTAGAATAATCTGAATTTTTTCTTAAGTACTTAAAAGCAAGATTTGTTAGTCAGAGACCTTCCAGCCAGAGTAGCTTGGAGGGGGGCTGCAAGAGAGGGAAAACCTGAAGGGGCTGGTGGTAGTGGGATTTTTAAACACAATTTGGGGGAAGAAAAAGAACTTACCAGCTTGACATTCAGTTACAAGGTGGGGACAAAAAAAGACCTGATTTGCAGGTGGGATACTTAATTTGTTTTAAGGTAAACTGGGCACTCAGAAGGGTAGAGTCACCACTCCCTTGCTGTTCTCATGATAAGATTGGAGATTCCAAGGAAGTAGGGCAGACACTTTTGACCTTGCTAAAGATAACTTTTGGGGGAAGAAAGCCTTTTGCACCCTATTTTTCCACTGAGACCAACCTGACTGCCTCTTAACCTGTCTGACTCACATTCCCTCCCCCAGAAGAAGGGACCTTAACTTCTGTTAGGGGAGCTGGGCAATGACTGCTCTGGCTGCTTCATGCTGAGAAGGGGCATCATTGGGACCAGCAGTCCAAACAGGGTTCCAGCAGGAGATGGCCTCTTGAGGGAGACACTGTGCCAGCTTGTAAAAACTGCCTCCATCTGAGGTTTCTTGTGTATGGCCATCTAGAATTTCATTGTTCCAAGTCTGGAGAAAGATTAAATACACAGGGTCTAAAACAAAGGACAGATCTGTTATTAGAGACCTAAGAAAGGTGCTGTCTAAACCATGAGGAAGTTTTCCTGTTGAGAGGCGATTAGAAACAGACAGGAGGGCCTTGTTAATAATCAGATAGGCTTTAAGGCCTGGCCAGGTTTGAGGTCAGACCTACTTATCTCTTCACATGGGGTATTGGAAGAGACTTCATAAGGGAGATATGAACCTCCTTAGGGAAGGCACCCTGTTGACTTCCATTACCTAGCTGGACTGGGTGGAGAGCTGGCCTGAACAGAAGGTAGGTGACATCTCTAAAAGGAAATTTACAGTTCTGCCTGCAATGTTACTGACCCTACTTGGCCATTCCCTCAACAGCGGTGGTCACTTTGGGAGCTGGGCCAAGTGAAGGGCTTTTCTGCATGGTGCCAACAGGTCTGTGGTTCTGACCCAGGAGCCTTTCAACCCCCAGGGCATTTCCATTTCCAATGACCCAGTTCTTGGCTAGCAGAGCTGCCAGGGCTCTTTAAAAGCTGACTTCTGTATCCATCTGAAGCCCTGGCTTTCCATGTCGAAAACCAGTGCCATCTGTGGTGGACTAGTCTGTGGGTCTCCTTGATGGCAGATCACTATGTAAAGCAGCTATTAATTAGCCTGCCACCTAACTGTACATTGCTTCTGCTGCCTAGCTTGGCTCTTCCTCCTGGTTTCTGGTAAAGTAGATCAGAGAGAACCTTTAAGAGGATGCAAGTCAAGGGGTGCTCAGTTCCATTCCTAATCTTTGATGGCCTAAGCTAGAAATTTGTAGTCACAGGCATGTTCTGATAGTGTTTTTTCTGGGAGGTAGACAGTGCCTCACAGATCAAACACGATGACCACCTTATCTGTAAAAGTTGAAGTCATTAGTTAAAATAATTTGGTTAAGCCATGTAAACTATCACCTTGGTTAATGTTTATCCTGGTGGAAGTTTTATATAACTCTAGTTCCTCCAGTATATACCTGTAGTGATAGTAATTAATACTCGACTTGGTCTGCCTGCTTAAGATTGAAAGCCTAAATTGTGTCTGTATTCTCTGGTTTTAAATGGAGATTGAGCCAGTTATTTATTAGCTTATAAGCTGAGTCAAGCAGTAAGTGATGCCTTTTAATCTACTCATATGTACTTGCTGATTGTTATGGCTGCCTTGATTTACAAATTGATGAAAGCTTCTGTCGCTTAATGTGACCTAATGTCACATTAATTCATAGTTTTAGCTTATATGATTTGGATTTCAGGTCATCTTGAAAAGTTAGAAAGTTAAGTTTCCCTTTTGTGTTTTTATAAGTTAATGTACACTAAAATAAAAATGATAATACCTGTTAAAATGAAAAGTCTTCAGTTCTCTTTTTTTTTTTTTTGCCTCGTTTGGCCTTGGCTTCAGAAACTAAGAGCTTGCAGACATTTTTAAGAAATCTGTTTATTTTTCAAGTGTCATGATTATCAAGTATCATGAAAAATCCGTCTTAAGGAATAGCATTAATGTTTCTTAGAACCATGGACTTCTGTATGGATTTGCATGCTCCTTAATTTCTTCTTGTCCTTTTTTGTTTCCTGACAGTCACGATCTATTTAGATTTAATGCTTGTCTTAACATTTCCCAAATGGTTTCAGATTTGTGTTGATAGTGAGGAAAATGGGGGAATGATTCTTTAGTTATGCAATGGAATGGGGAAGAGAACAGAACAGATCCTGCCTCTCCTGTCGAGCTTCTTCCATCTTTATGTTTCAATTTTTGAATGTTTGTCATGGTTAAGGAAAAGCTGCTGGGGCTGGTGCTGTTGTGTAGTTGATTAAGCCACTACCTGCAATGCTGGCATCGCAAATGGGCACCAGTTCATGTCCTGGCTGCTCCACTTCTGATCCAGCTCCCTGTTAGTACACCTGGGAAAGCAGTGGAAAATGGCTCAGGTACTTGGGCTTTTGCACGCATGTGGGAGACCTGGAGGAAGCTCTTGGCTCCTGGTTCGGTCTGGCCCTGCCCTGGCCGTTGCAGCCATTTGGCAAATGAACCAGCAGATGGAGGATTTTTCTCTCTGTAACTCTGCCTTTCAAACAAATAAATAAATCTTTTAAAAAAAGAAAAACTACTTTAGGTGGGAGTACCTATGTGTATATGTTGTATAGTGAAAACACCCAGCAGATGCCATCCTTGGTAATTCAGAGACTTGACCTTTCAGTGCTGTTCTCTGTGGAAGGAAGCTTGGGCTCCATCTCTAGTCACCAGGCTGCAAGGTCCTGGCTTCTTGTGTCCTGTTGGGCAGCCACATGATAGAACATTAATGCTACTTCCTGGCATAGCAGGAGGTGGAAAAGCATGGGGAGAAAGCTTCAGTCAAACCATGCATTTTATTTCCTTGTGTTTTTGACACTAAAAATTGAAAGGAAGTTGAACTAGACAGGAGGGCAGCCTCCACTAAGGACTGAAAACAAGCTCCTTGATTGTGGGTGCACAGAGCTGCCTGTGGAGGCTTAAGAGAGGCTGGCGGGTGACACATGCAAACCTGAGACAAGAAGCCTTGTTGCTATGGGTGACCTTTAGTGACCTATCAATTTTGCAGACTGCTCTGTGGCACTCTATTAGTGCTTTCTTTCTCTAAGTCACTAATTAGATCCTGATGATTTCCATGTGAAGCCGTGTGAGCACTGTGCGGTGCAAAGTGGCCTGGTTGTGTGAGTTCATGAATACTAGCCCACTTTAAGGATGTAAGGGTGTACTTTGCATACTTGGCTGAATTTATTTTCTAACAAAAAGCAATTGTAGCTGAAATAATTCTTTCTGTGATTTTCTTTTTTGTAAACATCTTTGAAGTTGAATCACAGCAATTTTGTTACAAATGCAAAAACATATCTTTTAATTTCAGTTTATTTCATTTATTGACCAAATTTAGGTTAGGGGTTGTTAAATTTAGTGAGAATTGTTTTAAGTATCAACAATAAGGGAAAGTGTATAATCAAGAAAAGAATTGTGTTGTGAAAATGAAAATGTACTGACATTTAATTTTTCTAAATTGTAATTTTTTAAAAAAGATTTATTTATTTACTTGAAAGGCAGAGTTACAGAGAGAAGGAGAGACAAAGAGAGATATTAATATACTGGTGTACTCCCCAAACAACTGCATTGACTGGGGCTGGGCTAGGACAGATCCAGGAGCCAGGAGCTTCCTCCAGGTCTCCCACGTGGGTGCAGAGGTCCAAGGACTTGGGCCGTCCTCTGTTGCCCTCCCAGGCTTACCAGTAAAGAGCTGAATCGGAAGTGGAGCAGCCAGGGCTCAGAGCAGCATCAGTGTGGGATGCTGGTGCTGGAGGCTGTGACTTTAACCTGCTGCACCACAGCGCCGGCACCTCTCCTCCCCTGCCTTTTTTTTTTTTTTTTTTTTAAGACTCGTTTATTCACTTGAAAGCAGAGTTACAGAGAGAGGAGAGACAGGAGGATTTTTAAAAAAGATTTATTTATTTACTTGAAAGAGTTAGAGAGAAGGAGAGGCAGAGAGAGAGAGGTCTTCCATCCGCTGGTTCACTCCCTAATTGGCCGCAATGGCCAGAGCTGCATCAATCTGAAGCCAGGAGCCGGAAGCCTCTTCCAGGTCTCTCATGCAGGTGCAGGGGTCCAAGGACTTGGGCCATCTTCTACTGCTTTCCCAGGCCATAGCAGAGAGCTGGATTGGAAGTGGAGCAGCCGGGACTGGAACCAGCTCCCATATGGGATGCTGGCACTGCAGGCAGTAGCTTTTACCCTCTATGCCACAGCGCCAGCCCCAGACAGGAGGAATTTTATAAAAACATAATCGATGTAAAAAAAATAGTTGAAGCATCTTACAAGATGGTTTACAGTGAAAAGACTCTCATCTACCCCAGTTCCCTTTTAAGGTTTCTTGAATATTTTTCAGAAGTCTATGCAAATATAAGTTTGTATATATGTTTAATAAAGTACTTATGAAAATAGGTTTCCATTATAGATTCTTTTGTTGCCATTTTCCACTTAAACGTATCTAGAAAAGTATTCCTTTCCAGCACATATGCACCTCGGTTGTTTTTTGTATGTAGGCAGTGGTTTGTAGGAGCTGGCTCTGGCTGGGCTATGAGCGCCGATTGTTGTATTGGTAGGAATTTTGTGAACTTTTTGTTTTATTTGAAAGGCAGAGAAACAGAGACACATGCAGAGAGAGAGAGAGATCTCCTATCTGCTGATTCACTCCCCGAATGCCTGCATCAGCTGTGGCTGAGGCTGGGACCTGGGCATTTGATCCATGTCTTCTGCCTGGGTGGCAGGGACCCAGCCGCTTGAGTCATCACTTGCTGCCTCCCAAGGTGGGAATTAGCAGGAAGCTTTAATTGGGAGTGGAGCCAAGACTTGAACCCAGATGCTCTAATGTGGGTTGTGGGACTCCCAAGCAGCACCTTAGCCATTGCACCAAACCCCTGCCCACTGAACTGATTTAAACACTGCACTGACTGCAGGTCACGTGGCAGTATTTACATCATGGAAGTGGGCAAACACTGCAATTAGCCTCTCCCTTCTCTAAGATGGTTGTTAAACATTTGCTAACACAGTACTGGATGTGTGATAACTTTCCTTGAGGCGCCTCTTGATGTATTTTTAAACACCAGCAGTTTGCTTCATAATGTAAAAAAAGTGAAAATTTTTGTCTTGCTTCAGACATTAATTTAACTACAAAGCTATCTCTCTCTCTCTCTCTCTCTCTCGATTTTATTTATTTATTTGAGAGGCAGAGCTACAGACAGACAGAGACAGGGAGAAAGATCTTCCTTCCTTTGCCGTTGGTTCACCCTCCAATGGCCGCCACGGCCGGCGCACCGCGCTTATCCGAAGCCAGGAGCCAGGTGCTTCTCCTGGTCTCCCATGGGGTACAGGGCCCAAGCACTTGGGCCATCCTCCACTGCACTCCCGGGCCACAGCAGAGAGCTGGCCTGGAAGAGGGGCAACAGGGACAGAACCCGGCGCCCCGACCGGGACTAGAACCCGGTGTGCTGGCGCCGCAAGGCGGAGGATTAGCCTAGTGAGCCGCAGCGCCAGCCAGGAGCTTCTTACAGGTCTCCGACGTGGGTGCAGGGGCCCAAGCATTTGGGCCATCTTCCACTGCTTTGCCAGGCAATGAGCAGAGAACTGGATCAAAAGAGGAGCAGCCAGGACACGAATTGGCACCCATATGGGATGCCGGTGCCTCAGCATTGGCCCCTTGTGCCCAATCCAGCTCTCTGTTATGGCCTGGGAAAGCAGTAGAAGATGGCCCAAATCCTTGGGCCTCTGCACCTGCATGGGAGACCAGCAAGAAGCTCCTGGCTCCTGGCTTCAGATTGATGCAGCTCTGGCCATTGCGGCCAATTAGGGAGTGAACCAGCAGTTGGAAGACCACTCTTTCTGCCTCTCCTCTCTCTGTGTAACTCTGACTTTCAATACATAAATAAACCTTTATTTAAAAAAAAAAAAAGAGTCCTGAGAAACCTTGCTTCTCTTTGCTTTCTGCCACTCAAAGATACAACAAGAAGTCAGATCTCTGCAGTGGGGAAGAGACCCCTTACCAGAGCCTGACCAAGCGGCCATCCTGATCTCACACTTCTGGCTGCCAGGACTGTGAGAAGTGAATTTCTGTTATTTATAAGATACCCGATGTATGGTAATTTGTTATATCAGTCCAAACTGAGACAAGTTGTTTTAATGTTATTCTCTATTTATTGTCATGGGAAATGGAAATCTATATACAGAGAACTATAGTTGAATCTTTTCCAGTGAAAATTCTTCAGGCTGCTCAGATTACAGGAAGATAAATACTGTTAGGGATGCAGTGAACAGTCTTCATGAAGAGGGTTGAGGGTTGATGGCTAAGGAATGAAGTGTGCTCTCTATCTCAGTTGAAATGCTGGAAGAATATTTTTCTGTAAGAGCATCGTTCAGTTGTGTTAGAGGGTCCACTGTATACCAAGTAATGCTAGGCAGTAGAAGGTCAAAGATAAATGAGAGAAGTGCTTCTGGTCTTAAAACACGGAGTAGTATGGGAGGTAATGGCAGGACTGTGTAGTAAGAAATATGTCAAATGTTGTTGGGTTAGAGAAGGAAAGAGCCATTAACTGTCAGGGGAGTTAGCGAAAGTTTCCTGTTGGTGACATTAGAGCAGGGTTTGTTGTCTGTGAAGCATTTTTAACAGGCAGAGAGGGGGCTGTGCAAAAGCATGAAGGTGTGAACACGGCAGGGATGGGGTAGGGCGAGTTCAGTGTGACCCAAGGATAGTGTGCAAAAGAGGCCTTTGGATTGTATAATACGATAGCTCTCAATAAAAAAAAAATACTGTTGGCTAGGTGGATGAATCCAAGAATGAATATTATATATAGACCAGGCATTTTTACATGGGACCTCGCAGAATAGAACTTCCTCTTGGGAATGTGTGTTCCAAATTTCATCGTAAAAATCCATCTTCGAAACACAGCTGTTGCTTACATTGGGAAAGGCGTATTCTGAATCAAATACTAGTTTATCTGAGATATTTTGTCTCCTGGTTAGTTCAGCAAAGAGCCGTGTATTTTTAGCCCTGGAATTAAGTGCCAAAATGTAATGGTTCTCTCATGAGAACATTTCAGGCATGGAAAGCCAAGACACTGTGGCAAAAAATGACCTATATGAAGGATCTCCATGAGTGAGATCCCAATGGAAAGAAGGAGGTACCTTTCTCTGAAGGAGGAGAGAACTTCCACTTTGCTTATGGCCCTGTCTAAATACTGACGGAGTGTTTTGCGGACTCAAAAGGCTTCCATAGCCTTGACAGCTCATGACAAGAACCTCGGGTGATCACTGATATCATAAATAAGAGTGTCAAGTGTTAAATCAACAACAGGAGTCACTGTGTACTTGCTCCCTATGTAGGACTTCTGCCCCTCCCCCCTTAAATTATTTATTTGAAAGTCAGAGTTACACAGAGAGAGAGAGAGAGAGAGAGAGAGAGAGGTCTTCCATCCACTGGTTCACTCCCCAATTGGCCACAACAGCTGGAGCTGTGCTGATCCAAATCCAGGAGGCAGGAGCTTCTTTAAAATCTCCCACGTGGGCACAGGGGCCTAAGGACTTGGGCCATCTTCCACTGCTTTCCCAGGCCACAGCAGAGAGCTAGATTGGAAGTAGATCAGCTGGGTCTCAAACCGGCGCCCATATGGGATGCCAGCGCTTCAGGCCAGGGCATTAACCTGCTATGCCACAGCGCCGGCCCCAGGACCTCTGTCCTTAATGAGTTGTGAGAATTAACAGTAAAATTTGTCTTCAGACAGTATTTTATATTTTGTGTGTCTGTGTGTGTGCAAACTATTGAAATCTTAGTATAGAGTTGGTCTTCTGTATATAAAGAGAATTAAAAATGAACTTTAATGAAGAATGGGATGGGAGAGGGAGGAGGAGGTGGGATGAGAGTGGGGATGGGGGGAAGAACCGCTATATTCCTAAAGCTATACCTATGAAATTTATATTTATTAAATAATAGCTTTCTGAAAAAATGTAATGGTTCTCAGAATGGTTTTTCTGTTCACCTCAATGGAGTAAGTGCTTTCTCTCTTTTTTTTTTTTTTGCCATCTAGTTTAGAAGTTCATTTATTTTACCCAAGCCAATGGTGTCAAAGTGGTGGGAGTACACAAAATAATTTAATTTGGAATATAGAAAGAAAAACATAGAGTTTCTTTATAGTACTGTTCATGGCATTGTTTAATTTCTGGTTTTTGTTTGTTTGTTTTTGTTTTTTTTAGTTTAAGATTAAAACATACATATAGGCTGTGGCATAGTAGCTTAAGCTTCTGTCTGCAGCACCGGCATCCCATATGGGCGCCGGTTTGTTGCCTGGCTGCTCCTCTTCAGATCCAGCTCCCTGCTAATGCCCCAGGGAAAGCAGTGGAAGATGGCCTAAGTGCTTGGGCCCCTGCACCCAAGTCAGAGACCTGGAGGCAGCTATGGCTCCTGGCTTCAAATGGGCCCAGCTCTGGCCATTGCAGCTGTTTGGGGAGTAAACCAATGAATGGAAGACCTGTCTCCCTGTGTTTCCCCTTCTCTTTCTAACTCTTCCTCCCAAATAAATAAATCTTAAAAAAATTACATAAATACACACAAGCATATACTACACATACACACACAAATAAAATGAAGTCTCATGCTGCCCGCTCCTTCCCTCTTCCATTTTTCTGGGCATGTATGATCAGAAAGGTTTGGTGTCACTTATTTAAGTCATCAGTGCAAAATGCTTTCAAAGGAATTTTTTAAAAAAAGAGAAAATTGTTGGGGCCAACGCTGTGGCATTGCGGGTAAAGCCACCACCTGCAGTGCGGGCATCCCATATGGGCGCTGATTGGAGTCCCGGTTGCTCCACTTCCCATCCAGCTCTCTGCTATGGCCTGGGAAAGCAGTAGAGGATGTCCCAATTCCTTGGTCCCTGCACACACATGGGAGACCCAGAAGAAGCTCCTGGCTCCTGGCTTTGGATCGGCACAGCTCTGGCGTTGCAGCCACCTAGGATGTGAACCAGTGGATGGAAGACTCTATCTCTTTGCATCTGCCTCTCTGTAACTCTGCTTTTCAAATCAATGAATAAATCTTTTTTTTTTAAAGATATATTTGCTTATTTGAAAGGCAGAGTTATAGAGGGAGAAAGAGAGAGAAATCTTCCATATACTGGTTCACTCCCCAAATGGCTGCAACGGATGGGGCTAGGCCAGCCAGGAGCCAGGAGCTTCCTTTGGGTCTCTCATGTGGGTGTCAGGGCCCAAGTACTTGGGCCATCCTCTACTGCTTTCCCAGGCACATTAGCAGGGAGCTGGATGAGAAATGAAGCAGTTGGGACTAGAACTGGTGCCCATATGGGTTGTTGGTGTCACAGGCAGCGGCTTAACCTGCTATGCCACAACGCCAGCCCCAAAGGGATCTTAAAATATTTTAAAATTCCATCTGGGTTTTGAAAAAGATAGGCCTCACTTAATGCCAGTTTAAAAGAAGTATTTTAATGAAATACATATAATAGTTTATAATTCATGTTTCATGATGCATGCACACTTTTGGATATTTTAGATTTTTACACTCAGGTAGCTTTCAGAGAGGAATCTATACTATTTTTTTTTAGTGAAATGATAATTAACTGCAGAACTGTCTTTGCTGTACCCAGTCCCTTATCTGATACCTTCCTATGTTGCTTAACAGTTAAGTTAGTCTTGCTGAGGTCCTTGTAAAGTCAGTGCATTGCCCATGCCTTCCCCAGTGTTGTAAATTAACACAACACTGACATCTAGAGTCAGCTGTGGCTTATTTGTCCCGGAACTTTCTGTTTAATCAGCTTTGGAGTCTTTGTATCTTGACTTTTGTCTTCTGACTCTATTCTTTTGTCTCTTCTCACTTTTTGTTGGTAGCATGATGTAAGTTATTTGGCATCCTGCACCAGGAAAATATGCATGATACTATTGCCCCATTACAGTATCAGAAGAAATGACTTTTACTTCGAGGTACTTTTCAGAACGAACTTCTCAAACTCAAATTTTGGCACCGTCCTCTTGCCCTTTTTCCCTTCCAGCTGATTCTGATTGTCCCATCCTGTCTACAACTTACAACGACAAGTCTTCCACTCACGATTAAAGCAGGTGGTTTAACTTCTAAAGCTCCTCAGGGTGACAGTCATCACATACCTCATACATTGAATGAACCAAGCAGAGCATGCATATTGTAAAAATGTTTGGAAAAGTTAGGCTGAACTTTTTGAAACTGTTAGGCTGCTGAGAATTTTTTTTTCACAAATTAGGAAAATATTTTTAGCTGTATTTTGTTGAGTTTCAGTATTTTCATAATTACCTTCAGCTATGGTGTTTTATACTCTGGTATTTTCCTCACAGCCAGTTGTTTTGTCCGTTTATAACTTTGGTATTTCTTTCTAAGACCTACTTGGTCTGTGTCCATTAATGTTGCCAGGGAATCTGGAGTTGCACATTGAGTGACTTAGGTGAAAATGGCATTGGTTTTATGGTCTTTCATAGTAGGAGAGTGTGCTTCTGTTTTCATAAGTGTTGTTTTCTTTCTCCTATGTAGAAAATAACAAGCCACGTTTAAGGTTAGGTAACCAATGATTCATTGTTCAAACAACAGATACGCTCCTAGGCCTTCTTGCATTCTGGACCTCAGGTGCCCTTCCAGAAATCTTAGAGGTCAGGTTACCACTTTCCCTGTACTTGTCGTAGGATACGGGAACTGAAAACAGTTTTCTTGTTCAAAGCCTTGCTTAGGAACTTTACAGTTTTTACTTCCGGGGCCTGCCTTCAGGCCACTTCCCTTTGTTGAACAACTTGCCCCAACCTCATTAAGAAGAAATAGTGAGGAGGCGTTTATAGTTATTCCCTGTGGTATCTGAGGTGATTGGCCCTCTGTCTTTATGTATTTGTGTATACACGGACGAATAAGAAGGCTCCCTAGACAATGGTCTCTCCTGGGTAAAAGTTCTTTTTAAAACTAGATTTAAGAAAAAAACCCCACATTTCATATCAACATCCTGTTATATGTGCTCTCTTGGCAACTGTTTAAGAAGAAGATACCTTTAGGAGTATACGAAAGTTCATCATTTTGTATGCATTTTCGTTTAAGTTCAGGCAATCTGGTCATGTGTCACAGAGACCAGGTATCTGCTCTGTGAGCTCTAAGACAGCATCCTGTTTGAAAAGCCTCTTTTTTGTAAGACTTTAAAAGAATATTTTCAGGATGTATTACAGATAGGATAGATGTATACTTCCTGTCACTCAAACCCCCAAGACTGAAGACATACTCGTTTCTTGACTCATTAGCTGCAGTTTTTCTAATATGAATATATTACTCCCTTATTCATAACAAGTAACTTTTTCTTTATCGTTTGATCCCCAAATGTTTGCAGCTTTCACTTAGTGCCTATCACTGCATGCACGATTCTGTGTGAAGCGGCTTTCACCGACAAAAGCCTTGCATCTGTACTATCTGTGTGCAGTGTGCTTCTGAGAGCTCCCCTGCCACTAAGACGCCCGCCTGGGGCCGTTGATGCTGTGTCAGATGTCCTTCATTTGTGTAAGAATTCATCTTACGGGCAAGTCCTCCTCCAGGCTTTGCTAAAGAAAAACACGATTATTGACAGTGTGTTGGCAGTAGAGCTTTTTTCAAACATGCTTTATATCTGTATTAAATCTTCTTGATATTTGACACTTACAGGTTGTTGGCTTCTGCCCACGTATCTCTTATGGTACAGTTCTTGAGCAATTTCCTGAAAAATTCTCCGAGCACTTTTCTGTAAATACAGTGAGAAAAAAATCTCTTCTGTGACCGTGAGCCATGAATGCTGTACATCATAACTTTTTCTTTGCTACAACCAATCTCAGATGTTCAACCACACAACACAATGCCTGTAGTTTTTCTTTTCATTTGGAGTACACTGATTAGAATTTATGGGTGAGAACTGTCACACTTAAATCACAGTTCACCACTTGAATTTACCATGGACTTTCTGGACAACAGCAAATGTTAGTATCTATGATACAGAGTTACTCTGCTGTCTGTTGCTTGCTTGCTTGCTTTTGTTTTTGTTTCCCAAAATCCTTCAGATTTGAAGTGATTACAGCCAACCACAATTCAAGAAATATTGACAAGTATAGATCTGTACCTTTTGTGGATCTTCTTTTGTTTTTTTGTTTCTTAGGATGTTAGATTTTGCCTGCCAAGAAGAAAAAGGAAAGTCTATAAAACATCTCTTGTGACAGATGTCTGTACCATAATTAGATTTGAATGGTATAAGTAAAAGTTAATACTTTTCATATCATTTCTAAGAGACTTTTATTCCATTAATAAGTCAATTTAACAACTTTAACCAATATTGATTTTAGGATTTACCATAATCCTAATATAAACATACACATCCCTTCTTATGCAATCAAAAGGTATTCTTTCTCAATAACTTGAGTCCTGTTTGAATATTTAACACATCCTCTAATCTCTTCATGAACCTTTTTTGCTCATAAAGACCATCCTTGGGACTTTCATAGATGACAATAGTGCCCTCCTCACCTCTCCAGCCCCGACCCCTGCAGTAGAAAAATAGCATAGAAGGTGATCTCTTAGCCCTGTGTTAAAGAGAGCACTGTAAATCATGTACCCTGTATGGTAAGAATTTCGGGGTTGACAGTCCATGCCTTCTGTTGACCTTTCTGTGACTGGTGTCCCCACACTTAGAAGGGAGGTGCTAGCTAGGTGAGCCCATTTCCGAGGCTCACAGCTTGTGGAGAGGTGGAAGCTGTGCTCCTTAAGATAATATTCACGGCTGTAGGAACACCCAGTGCAAGAAGATTTGGCTTACTTTGGAGAAGATGATGAAGATGACGCAGACGCCAGCGATGTAGATGGAGAGCAATGCTAGGAGAGCCGTCAGCAGGCTCCGCACTTCCCTGCTGAGAAGCTTGCTTTCTTCATTACCAACCAGAGAGACACAGTCACTATTGACACATATTCTTGCAAATATACATATAAAATATAATTGAAGCTACATGTTAGAGGCAAAACATGAACTCACCCTGCCTGCCTATCATATAAAACATTATTCAGGATCTCTTCAGAAAACACCCAGTTGTATGATAGTTAAAGCTGGGTCACCACTTCTTCAAATATATTATACCAAAAATGTTACCAAGGAGTGTTTTTATTTTTATTTTATTTTTTAAAAAGATTTATGTATTTATTTGAGAGGCAGAGTTACAGACAGAGAAAGGGAGAGAGAGAGAGAGGTCTTCCCACTGGTTCACTCCCCAAATGGCCGCAATGGCTGGAGCTGCGCCGATTCGAAGCCAGGAGCCAGGAGCTTCTTCTGGGTCTTTCGTGTGAGTGCAGGGGCCCAAGCACTTGGGCCATCTTCTACTGCTTTCCCAGGCCATTAGCAGGGAGCTGGATTGGAAGTGGAGCAGCCAGGACTCGAACTGGTACCCACATGGGATGCTAGCACCACAGGCAGAGGCTTAACCTACTGTGCCACAGCACTGGCCCCAATGAGTGTTTTTAAAAATAAAAAACTTAGGGGCTGGTGCTGTGATGTCGTGGGTAAAGCCACCGCCTGTAGTACTGGCATCCCATTTGGGCACCAGTTCAAGTCCTGGCTGCTCCACTTCCAATGCAGCTCTGCTATGACCTGGGAAAACAGTGGAAGATGGCCCAAGTCCTTGGGTCCCTGCACCTGCGTGGGAGACCCGAAAGAAGCTCCTGGCTCCTGGCTTCGGATTGGCACAGCTCTAGCCGTTGCGGCCAATTGTGGAGTGAACCAGCGGATGGAAGACCTCTCTCTCTGCCTCTCCTTCCCTCTATGTAACTCTCACTATCAAATAAATAGATACATCTTTAAAAAAAATAAAAACTTAGGGGTAGGCATTTGGCTAGCAGTTATGCCACTGGTTGGAATATGTGCACATTGCAGTTCTTGATTTAAGTCTTGGCTGTGCTCCCTATTCCAGCTGTCTGCTAATGTTTACCCTCGAAGATAGCAGGTGATGGCTTGAGTACTTGGGTCCCTGCTGCCCATGTGGGAGACCTGGATTGAATTCCTGGCTCCCAGCTTCAGTCCATTTTGTCTGTTCCCTCTTTCTTTTCTTCCTCTCCCTCTCTGCCTCTCAAATAAATAAGTAGATAAAATTTAAATTCAGAAAAACTTAACAAATTCTATCCATCTGTCATATGCTAAAACTATTTTTTATTAAAAACCTTACTAGAAGTTAGATAAACATTTCAACATATTTTGAGGGCATTTGAAATTTCTTTTGGTGGAAGTGTGGTCAAGAATCTACCTTTGTAAATGAGATATTTCACATGTGCTTGTTAGTGCTAACATGTGTATAACCTTGGGACCATCAGTGTATATACACAGTTGGATAGTATGGCCAGTAAGGGAACCTGAGGGGCTGGCATTGTGGTGTAGCGGGTTAAGCCACCACCTGCAACAACAGCATCTCATGTGAGTGCTAGTTCTAAAGTCCCAACTGTTCTACTTCCAATCCAGCTCCTTGCTGATGGACTGGAGAAAGCAGCAGAAGATGGCCCAAGTGTTTGGGCACCTGCCACCCATATGGGAGTCCTGGAAGAAGCTCCTGGCTCTTGGCTTCAACCTGGCCCAGCTCTGGCCATTGTGGCCATCTGGAGAATGAACCAGCATTTGGAAGATCTCTCTCTCTCTCTCTCTCTCTCTCTCTCTCTAATACTCTGATTTTCCAATAAAAAAAAAATCGTAAAAAGGAACCAAAAAGGCTGTACATTGAGAATCAAAGCACTTGTTGCTCTCTAAAGACAGATTTTTTAAGTGGCACGTGTGCGGTTCCTTCTTTATAATGAAGCCCACTATGCTATACTTTTAATTAAATATCCTGTGGATATTGGATGTGTGAACTCATTATACATTTTTATTTGTGAAACCAACAAAGTAACCACATTTATATAACTGTAAAAGATGTTTATGTGCTACAGTAGGAGCTCTGGCAGGAAGCTGCCATGTCTGTTTTAGGGAAACTTTCACTTCTGCCCTTAAAGAGGAGTCTCTCTTTACAGCCATTTTCCCTTTTGGCATTTTTTGTGATAGATGGCTAATGCAGTGAAACTTAGAAGTAGTATGTGTGTTATGATCAATAGCTAACCTTTATTATTTACTACATGCCAGGCACTATTAAAAGCACTTTATTAAGTCACTCATAAAACTCATTTATAATTTATCTCCCCAGTGAGAATAAACTAAGGCTAAATGACACTTGAGAATCAGAGGGCCATTGGAACACCTGTAATAGTTTAAAACAGGGATTGTAACAGCAAACAGTCTTGGGTCCCAGAGTCCTGTTTTAAAACCAAAAGGCTGGTTGATTCTGAGCTCATGTTTCATGACCTCAGGGCTCCTCACACCAGCAACCTTTTTAAGAAAAAAGATTCAAAAAAGGCAAGGAGTTCCTTCCCATGGCTTCCTTCCCCCGGAATCATATGATAAGCTTCTGCTCTGAAATTTCTAAATCTTGAACAACTCAGGGAGATGACTTGATGAAATTATTTATAGGAGTTAGGTTTGATGTCCTCGTGTGGGTGAGGAATTGTCATGGGTTTTAGCAAATCTCAGGAAGCCATTGCTTTCTGTTCTCTATATCTAGGCAGTGTGGGAAGGGTCAGGATCCTCTAGTGGCTTCTTTTCAAGTTTGTATTTATTCTCCTTAATGTGTATTCTTTCTGGTCTGATTTATTGATCATTGATGCTTGTTCTAGATGGTGGTACAACACTGGACCAGTTCTTGAGAGAGCTGATTTAGTTAATCATTGTTTAAGTTTTCCTTTAAACTAGTTACCTCACACCCAATCATTGCAGTTGGCAAGAAGGAAGAACTTGGTCCACCTTCACTAGTGAAGTCTGGATATTGAAAGCAAACCTGGCCTCCAGCACACCATTGACCGTGGATGCTGGGAGCCGGGCTCAGAGTCCGTTTTCAATTCAAACTCATACCACCCTGGCCTCAGATCATGCCTTTCACTGGTTCAGGTATTAAGTTAACAAACTTATAATTTGTGCAGGTAAGTGACGTGCGACTTTAAGGGCTGAGCAAAATGTGAACAAACATGGTGAAATGAAGCCCGACTGACCTCTCACCACCAGCATGGTCCCATCTCCAGTTTGCTTAGCTCCCGGTGCCAGTGCATGAGTAGCAACAGCGATTCCACAGATGTAAATTGCACTGTCGTTTGAAGTCACTCTGTTTATGGTGAGGGAAACTTGATTTTGGGCTAGTACTTCCCTCACTGTGAATTTGTCTGCCTCACTTCTGCAGCCATTCAAGCACAGGTTCTCAGGCTGTTGCACGCCATGGCGGAACCACAAGCTTGTTGTTTGCGCCGAAGGGCAGCCACTCTTGGAGAAGGTGCAATCGATAGTGACAGTCTTGTAAGTGAGGTCCACTTCCAAGTAACGTGGTTGTGTGATGGAGACGGTGCAGGCCCCCACAGCACCTGCAGGAGGAAGCAGGAGTGGTTTGTTGAGCGGTTTTCTCACCTCACTTTGCCTGAGTTCTGACATGTGTAGTTTAGGAAACCCAGCTGTTCCTTTCAAGCAAGGTTATCAAGGTGCACACCAGTGGTCCTTGTTTGTCTTAACTTGTGTGATTCCTGACCTCTGCCTGCTGGTTTGCCGGGTGTCTGGCTCCTGGAAGACAGCCCCAGAGAGGCTGCAGCTGGAACCCACGTCGTGAGCAGAGGTGGCAGCTGACCAGAGTTTGAAGATCAGGCTTCCGTGTACCCTCTTGCGTTTTACAAGCTTTCCTTTGATCCTTCGCGGGCCATGGAATCCCTCAGAGCCTGAATTGTCCCCTGTACCCCTCGACACATAGGCGTGTTGTATTCAGCCTGGTAGCGTGGATCAAAGCTCCTCACACAGATGCTGTAGCCTCTTACTGAGCTCATGAGCAAGAGGGATTTTTTGGCCTTGTGGAGGTTGAGATTACTAGGAATTCACTGCAATTCACAATTGGTCTTTTGTGAGCCAGGCATCCCTTTGGGAAACACGATAGAAGGCAAGATGTACACCTGTGGAAATGTAGCCCTGGCGTAGCCTGCAAGGTCTTTGATTATTGAGCAGAGGCCGAGTGAGCCAGCCACGCTGTGGCTGAGATCAGATTTCTTCCTGGCACTTGTACCCTATTCTGTAGTCTCTTGTAGCGTTTATCTTATTTGATTAACAATATTGTGTTAAAGAGTAGACTTGAGTTCGAATCCTCCCTCTACCAGTTGCCAGCTCTGTGATCCCTGTATCTGTGCAGTAGAGTTGGGGTAGTTATCGTTGATATTGTACAGTTAATGCGAGTTAAGTAAGCAGCTTCTTAAGGAGTATTTACATGCCTACAACGTAGTACTTAGTAAAAGATATCTGTTGCTGCTGCTGCTGTCATTTTAGAGATAAGGGGATGTGCTACTGGGGATTTGCAGGCTGGTGCTCCGTTTGCCAGGCAGTGCACCTACCCAAGTCAGGCAGCCTGGGTGCCCCACCTTGGCCCTCTAGTCCCAGGCATGTGAGGCTGGAAGGCTCTCAAGTGCTGATACAAATGGCAAGGCCTGACCTCAACCCTTTCTGGGACAAGGGAGGCCATATATAAAATAGTATTGGTTGAGACAAAATGGGATTTATCTAATTTATATTGCACATATTCTGCCAGGTTCTCTGGTTCCAAGCAGTCTGATTTGTCTCCTTGGCTACTGTAAATGAACTTAGAAAGTAGCCCAAGAGGTCTGCTGCTTAAGTTTGAGAAAGGGGCTCTTTCTCACTTAACATTTTTCTTATAGGTTCTCATTCAGAACAGAAGAGAGATTAAAATTAGCATCGTGTCATTTGTGATGCAGCCTCTTTTTGGTGCATCTTAATTTTAGTGTTCACACAGTTTGAGGCGTGCTGGGCAGTTTGCTGGGAGGTGATAAATATAAAGCAGCCGAGAGGGCACGGTGGGCTCTGGAGGTTCTGCAGGCCTTTGTCTGCAGGAGGCTCAGCCCAGCATGGGCTTCAGCCAGGGCCCTGAACTCACCTCTGGTCAGTACAACCTCAGGTCTGCTGCCCAGGACTGATCACCTTAGAGAGACACAGGAACTTTTACTATGTAGAGTCACCCTTATACATTGGAAATTTGGAACAGTTGGGCCTGCTAGAGTGTAGTAGAGTTAAACTGTGTCTCAATCTCAAGTCAGCTTCTAGATAAAAATGTTGGAAGATGACTTTTAGCACAATTCTTTAAGCACTGGCGGCACAGGATAAAGTAGGTATTCACAGATTTGGAGTTTGGTCTTGGTTTAACCTGCAGCTTCACCACTTGGCAGAGAAGGTGCTAGCCTGGGGGACTCAGTAAGTACTCTGCAAATGCCCTTGTGACTGATGGCCTTGCTTCTCCTCCACTCAGCCAGTGGTGGTGGCTCCCTACCCAGACACCCTTGTAAGGAAATGGCTGTTCCTCCCCCACCAGTTAAGCAACATATTAGCAAAAAAGAGAAGTTTGGATAATAGATCATACCACAGTCTGCGCCTTTGAAAAATTTCTCTTTAAGAAATCTCATTCTATAGGGTTTGTCTTTTTAAAACATAGTATCTGCTGAGAAGGTTGCAAATTTATCTCTCCTTAGTGGAGGAGATTTAAAAATCATTTTTGTATTTTAAAATCTAAGTTAGAAAATAAATAGGGACCTAATTTTTCACACTTACAATAAGCGTTTTGTTAGAGAAGATTTCCCATGTACACAAAAGTAGCAGACTAACCCAGTGAGCACCCTACCATCCCAGGCCCCAGCCCAGTCTTCTCACCTCCCATTCCACCAACTCCCTCACTCCCGTGTCATTTTAGGGCAAATCCCAGACATTTTATGTGCACATCTTTCAGGCTATATCTCTTAAAGACAAGAATTCTTATTTAAAATAACACTAAGATAGTTTATAAAGGTCATATATATCTGTTAGGAAAATAAAAGTGGAAGCAAAAAGTCACCCTTGTTCCTTTATTCAAAACAATCACTGTTGACATTTTGACATGTTCCTTAGAGATGGTAAGAAATTAATTTTAAGAACTTTTGCACCCTTCCCTGCCCGATAGTCTGAATGCTCAGGAAACACTTTCTCTCTCACTGAGAAACACGTACATTTTAACAATGGTTTTGTGATGGGGGTGCCATTGCTAGAAAATATTCAGCAAATACCCGTCTAGTGCTCACTCTGTAGAGTGAATTTGCCTCTAAGGGACTTAAATCACTTGATGACTATCCCAAGTGGCTTTAAGAATATTTTCAACCCCTCAGTGAGCTGTTCTCTAAAGCAGCAAAGGGAATTTCCAGGCATTTAATAGGAAACTTTTCTCAGCGATTCTTTTATTCCCCCTTTCACTGGGGAAAAAGGAAACTTATCAGCTCTAACAATTTCCTTCATGTTACACATTTAAAAATTATTCTGTAGGAGCTTAAAATAGAAATGTATTAAAAGAACCTTACCGATATAAAATAGGATGAAATTGATTCCCAGATGGGGGCCGATCTTGCCTTTGTGAGCAGTTTCCATTTCTCTTTCCTTTTCTCTCTCTGTGTTTGGAAAGAGACTTGGCTTTTATTTTTTCTCCTTTTTTTTTTTTTTAAGAAAGCAAGAACTGAAGAGAGGAACTCTTATTAAGGAACCACAATTGGGAACTTTTTGAAATTGTGTAAAGATGGTTCGTAATCGAGTTGCACCATGTAAAGTTTAGATTTCAGCCTGTGGCACGTTTCTGAGTATGCATGTGACCCCACCCCCATGGGTTTTACAAATCCTCCTTAGGTGTGAGCTGTTTTGAGTGAGATTTTGATGTACGGGTAATGTAGTGCATACTCCAGGAAGGAGTATGATTTGACAGATAAGCAGTGCTCGGTATTTCCAGAGCAGGCCAGTTGCTGGCTTGGGGCACCTTCTGTGTGCCTTGCTCTGGGCTGGTACCTGCTGGGCACAGAGTTGGAGAGACCAGAGAAGAAGTAGCAAACAGCACATCTGAGTTCAATGAAGAAAATACATAGTCTGTCATGAATTAGTTATGTCCCAAGTTTTGGAATCAAAGACCCTCCCCCCTTAACTTTTTTTTTTTTTGAGACTTATTTATTTATTTGGGAGATAGTGACAGGGAGAGAGGGAGAGAGAGAAAGAGAGAGGGAAAGGGAGAGAAAAGAAGAGAGAGAAAGAGGTCTTCCATCTCCTCATTCACCCTGCAAATGGCCACAACTGCCAGGTCTGGACCAGGTGGAAGTCAGGAGCCCTAAGGATTCCATCTGGGTCTCCCAGGTGGGTGGCAGGGAGCAGTACACTTGGGCCATCTTCTGCTGCCTTCCCAGGCGCATGTAGGGAGCTGGGTTTGAAGCAGAGCAGTGGCAAGTTGAACTGGCACTCTAATATGGGATGTCAGTGTCACAACCAGCTTAACCCACTGTGCCAGCCCCTAAAAGTTTTAAAAATTTATTCATTTGAGAGGCAGAGAGAGAGCATGTACTCCCATCTGCTAATTCCATACCTTTGGGAGTCAGAAACTCCATCCAGATCTCCCACGTGGGTGGCAGAGACTTAGCTACTTGAGCCATCATATTGCCTCCTAGGGTCTGCATTGGCAGGAAGCAGATATTGAACCCAGGTATTCCAGTATGAGGCGTGGGCATCTCAACTGCTAGACCTAATACCCACCCCCAAAGATCCCCTTTTAATGTATTGTAAAGCAAATACGCAGCATCCCAACCTTATTAACCCTCCCTCCGGGCTTGGAGGCGGTAAAGTGTCATCAGTCAGACTCTTCTTTGTAAGCAGCAGGAGCTGACTCCGGCTGACTTAAGCAAAAGGAAACATATTGAAAGGATTTGGGCACAGCTCCCAGAGGAGGCCTGAGGAATCGTGTGTGGTGTGCCCAGCCAGCAATGATGGGCCAAATCACGCTGTGAAACCGGTCTGGAGGCACACTGCGGCTGCCAGGCACCGGATGCGTAAGCTTTTCCATCAGTGCCACTCAGCTGCTGCCCCAGCTGCCTGGTCTCACTGCCATCGCCTGCCCCCTCGGCCCTCCCCTGGCCCTAAACAAGCCCCATGTTTCCACCTCCCTGGGTCACTAGGTTTTCATCTCAGGTCTCAGATGAGTGTCAGAACCTAAGTCATGTCCCAAGGCCTCACCTGCAAGGAAGGCTGGCACGCTGCTTCCCCAGGCTTTGTCTCCCACCAGGACGCTGCCGAGGGAACTCCCCAGATGTGGGAGAGGGCTCCGGGCCGGGCCGCTGAAAGTAAGGAGCAGTCTTCTGCTACAGCAGTTGTGCCCTTGACATCTGCTGATAATCTTTTCTCATCAACACAAAGTCATCCTCAGTATGAATATCTAAGGATATATGTGGTTTTTTTTTTATCACCATAGCATCTAAAATTATCCCAAAGTGTAAATCTATTATGAGGGATCATCAAAAAGGTCATGGAAAGTAGGTGTAAAAAATGGTACATGGATTTCAAAATATTTTTTACACCAAAATAAATATCTTTTACTGGGGCTGGCACTGTGGTGTGGTATGGAAAGCCACCACTTGCAGTGCTGGCATTCCATATGGGTGCCATTTTGAGTCCCAGCTGCTCCACTTCGGATCCAGCTTGGGAAAAGCGGTGGAAGATGGTCCAAGTCCTTGGACCCCTGCACCCACGTGGGAGACCAGAAGAAGCTTCTGGCTTCGGATTGGCCCAGCTCTAGCCATTGTGGCCATTTGGGGAGTGAACCAGTGGATGGAAGATCTATTTCTCGCCCCCTTCCCCCCTCCCCCTCCCTCTTTCCCTGTCTGTAACTCTGCCTTTCAAATAAATAAATCTTAAAAAAAAGATTACTTCTGATTCCATTTTCTTTTTTTAATTTATTAATTCCATTTTCCACAAACTTCTTGAAGCACTCGTGTGTCTGTGTGTGTGTCCCTAGTCAGTGCTTGCCTTGAGTGTGTATTTGAAAGACCTTCCCTATTCCTCTATTTCCCAGAATACCTGCTGCTCCCAGGTTTGGGACTGACTGACTCCTCCATTCTCGTGTTCTGAAAATCTAGGGTGTGGGTCAGCTTCCTTTGAAAAACACTGCTGATGATCTGTTTTTATAAATTAAAATCCCTCATGAGCCTGTTTTTATGTTCAGCCTGATAAATCTCTCTAGGTGGGAAATTTACTGCTTCAGTAATATTTTCTTGTATTTGGTCAAAGGCCCCTTTCAAATATCATGTTACTGTTGCCTCAGTATTTAATGACTCCAGTGTTTAATGACCAGTTTTCTGAATCTCGGCCATTACACCTCCTAATCGGTCCCACAGAGGGAACCACTGGAGACACTGTCAGAGAAGGTGACAGCACGGGCTTTGGATCCTAACAGGCCTGGGTGCATTTCTGCTCTGACGCTCGTTAACTCTGTGACAGGGTGAGGTAAGTTCCGCCCCGCTGAGCCTGTGCTCCTGTGCCCACCTGCCTCAGGGTGTCCCTGAGTGTGAGGGATAGGATCCACCGGAGCACCCAGTGCCTGGAATATTCCAGGTTCTTGGGAGAGACTGTTCCTTCCCGATCTCCTCTTTAAAGAGCTTGTTTGTTCAAGAATTTAACTCATTGTTTTTATTTGTTTTAGTAGGTGGCAAGTGGGAGAAACCATCAGAAATTTTGGAAATCAAGGGACAGAATTGGGAAGAACAAGTGAACAGTCTGCCTGAAGTTTTCAGCAAAGCTGGTTTTGTTATCGAAGCGTTCACCAGACTGCCATACCTGTGTGAAGGCGACATGTATAATGACTATTATGTTCTGGATGATGCTGTCTTTGTCCTCAAACCCGTGTAAACATGTGGAGGCCAGAGTCTTCTGAGCCCACCCCAAGATTGCACCCTCAAGAGGAGGGTCTGCGTTCACAGTTGTGTGATGGGAGGGCCTCTGGGGACTGCCATTTTAACTATCAAGTAGGAACTTAAAAACCAAAATACTAATTATTTCTTTGTAGTGTGTAAAAGGAATGTTTTTAAAAAGCAAAACCCCAACTCTTTGTGGATTTTTATCAGCTCTTAACTCGGAGTCACACTCCAATGCAGGTCACCCTCCAATGATGATGGAAGATATTTTTTATACTTAATTGCCGTAGGGACTCATTCCCAGACAAAGCAATAGTCATGACTTCATGGAACCAACATGTGGATTGTTTTTAATACAATGAAGACTGGCAATAAAGCTGTCTGTTCAATTCCAAATATTGGTTATAAGGTTTAGCCACTGATATGCTTTCATGTTCAGAAATTCTGTTACTATTCAAGAAGATGTTTTTAATCATGCTAATAAACTTTTTTGGAGATCACTTTGGCATCATGTTTGAGTTAATATGAGGCTTCTCTGGCATTTTTTTTTTTAATTGCTTTGGCTTCAGGAGTATCCAAAATAATAGCAGAATGTGATCAATGCAGACAACTTGGACATGTGGTGAAGGAAGGCTTCAGACAGAGGCAGAGGGATTATTGCAGATTGCATGAAAGCCAAGGCAATCCAGACATCCCTCCCAAGAGCAGCCGCATTCAGATCGGTACTTTTGGAACCACCCTGCTCCCCAGTTAATGTTGCTTTGAGAAATGCAAAACACCTGGTTCTGGCTATGTGGTAACTTAAGTCCTACACTCAGAACTTTTGTTTTTCTGGACTATCTCAGGTTCTAAGAACTGAAGCATTCTGTTGTGTCTATTGACAGAATACAACCAAAAATTGTTTTAATTCACCTTGTTACTCTACACTTGGATACCTCTTTCTCAGAACTTGGCTGTTCCCAAAATCCTTAACTGAGCTTACTCTCTGACAAGAATATGGTTTGATGAAGACCATGTCAGACTCATGCATTCTAGAATCCCCGAGTGCCTCCCACAATCAACCCGAAATGTTGCAGTAGAGGAACTCATTAGCAAGATCAATAACCATTGTAGATATTCCAAAGAGCAGATCGTTTAACTCAGAATCTAAAATCTCAGTAATAACAGAGATGCCGATTTGAGATTGTGGTTATTAACAATATGTTATTCTCACAGCTCTGGGTCTTTTTTCATCCAGGTGTTTCATTAAATAGTCTCATTTATATGCTCACAGAAGTCATCAAATCAACAGTTACTGCAACACCTGGGTGTAAAGGCAGATTAAAGCCTTGAGAAGAATGGCTTTATTATCCATTAAGAACAGCAATCCCACTTCCTCACTCCAACATCTCCCACTGTTACTGTGTAGTCATAATCAGAGTTGGGTTATGTGATTTATGCAAAATTGTTATTGGAGTGTTCTAATGATTTTTTTCCAGGAATTCAAAGAAGTGACATACAAATACTTAGCACCCTAGATTGTAAAAATAGAAAGAGGAAATGAATAAATTTAGGTCTTGTACAGTTGGCATTTGCTTCTTTATGAAGTGTCATGATCAGAGGTTGCTGTTTAAACTGTCGAATAAGAGTGATGGATGCTCAGAGGCAGGTGCCCCAAGTGTCATTAACTTTCAAGTTGATAGTTAATTTCATGGTCTTTTAAAAACATTAACCCCAAGAAGCAGAAGCAGCACGTACACTTATATATCTTAACAATAAAAATAGTTTCTCAGGAAAATCTGAGGTTCTCCGAAGACCTGCTTTTTAAGAGTGCTATTTTATGGTGAAAAATTAAAACCAGCAAATGTGCTATTTCCTATCTGCTTTTCAAGTCTTGTCTGTGTGTCACCATTCCACTAGGTGGCAGTGTTGCTTACTGAGTGTCAATGGCTTCTTTTTCCTCTAAATGGAATGTGTTTTCTTCCCCAAAGTACATACAATAAAGCTGCCTTCTTGTCTGCACCATTCTCTGTGTAAGTGCTTCATATCAAGTTCAGGTTGTGCTAGAGAAATTAATAAGAGCTATATTTGAGGTCAAAGCAAGCTAATGGACCTGAAAGGTCAGTGGAGAAAGGAAATGCAAGCTGCACCTGTGACTCCTGGCTCCTTGCACCTGCATGATAAGCCCCTGGCGTGTTCAGACCGCTGATTTCTGAGAGGAGGAGGAGAGAAGATACAATACCTATAGTCATTTCTCCCTTGTCCAGAATCGTTAAAAGCAGTATTATATTTTCTACAACCCTGTATGACCTGCCGTGGCTTTTTGCATAGTTGACTTTTAAACAGAGAAAATGCTGGGTAGGGGAAATAAAGTAAAGCTGACTTGTTTTAAGTTGTCTTTCTGAGTAAAGCTTTGTTTTCACCTAGTTCTGAGCACAGGATTAATAGACTTGCAGTGAAGTGGGATATTTTCATCAGTTGCTTCTCGTCACTTGGATACTGATAGAAGTGTTCCATCTCTCTAATAATGATGGCATATTCCTCATAGGCTTCCAGTGGCGGAAGTGACCTACCGTAGTTTGGCAGATGCCTGTGTCCCCCTAAATCAGTGTGTTTCTTAGACATGCAGTGAATCAGAGAGAGCTGGGCTGAGGTGTACTGTCTAGAGCCTCCTAATTGACTTGAAGGAGGCAGGATGCTCACAAACTTAGATACTGCCATCTTATTATAGAAGATACAAAACCTGGATTGGCAGAAGGATGTGTGCACTGCATCCCTGCTAAGAAACATTTGCTTTATCTAAATAAAAAGAATGCACCCAGGGGTCAGGTGTTTGGCCAAGTGGTTAAGATATCTGCATCCCATGCCAGAGTGCTGGGGTTCAAGTCCTGGCTCTGCTTCCCATCCCAGCTTTCCAGTGTGCACTGTGGCAGGCAGCAGGGTCAGTGTCCCCTATCTGGTAGACCCAGATTGGGTTCTGGACTCCTGGCTTCAGCCTGGCTCAGCCTCAGCCATTGCAGGCATTTGGGGAGTGAACCAGTGGATGAGAACTCTCTTTCTGTGCCTCTCAAATTAAAAAAAAAAAAAATCCAGAACTATTAGGGAGGTAGTGCTGCTCTTTGGTAACTAGTGGGTGATGAATCAGCAGTTAAGCAATAATGAACAGACAACAATGAATCACAAGAATCTCATGTATGTGATAGCTATAAAGGCATTCATATTTTGCTGCTTGCTTTATCAGTGTTTCTAATATACTTGTGCCACCCTTGTCTTCTATGTAGGAACTGGTTCTAACTTAGGTTGTGGTTTGCTTTTTAACTATTTTAAAAATAAGCTTGAGGTTGGCCGGCACCGTGGCTCACTAGGCTAATCCTCCGCCTGCGGCGCCGGCACACTGGGTTCTAGTCCCGGTCAGGGCGCCGGATTCTGTCCCGGTTGCCCCTCTTCCAGGCCAGCTCTTTGATGTGGCCTGGGAGTGCAGTGGAGGATGGCCCAAGTGCTTGGGCCCTGCACCCCATGGGAGACCAGGAGAAGCACCTGGCTCCTGGCTTCAGATCAGCACGGTGTGCTGGTCGCAGCGTTCCAGCTGCAGCGGCCATTAGGGGGTGAACCAACGGAAAAAGGAAGACCTTTCTCTCTCTCTCTCTCTCTCTCTCTCTCTCTCTCTCTCTTTCACTGTCCATTCTGCCTGTTCTGCCGGTCAAAAAATAAAATAAACTTGAGATTTAGAGAAATCTTGCAAAGTTTAGTAGAGGGACTGCCTGGATAGCATTTAAGTAATGTTAACATCTTACATAACCATGTGTGTTTCTCAAACTTAACTCTGATGCTTTATTGATAATTAAACTCCAGGTTCCTTGGATTTTGCCTGTTTTCCACTTTGACCTTTTTCTGTTTAGAGTCGTAACCCAGGATATCGCTTTTCATTTGGTTGCTTCCTTATAATAAAATTATTAAGTTCACTGATAGAGTGTCACCATTTGCGTTTTTTTTCCTTTCATTTTTATAATTGTGAAACATGGGGCTGGCGTTTTGGTGCAGCTAGTTAAGCTGCTGCTTGCAGTGCCAACATACCATATGAGTGTGGATGCAAGTCCCAGCCGCTCCACTTGTGAACAGACTCCCTGCTAATGTGCCTGGGAAAGTGGCAGAAGATGACTCAGTACTTGGGCCTCTGAACCCATGTGGGGACCTAGATGGAGTCCTGGCTCCTGGCTTAGGCCTGGCCCAGCCCTGGCTGTTGCAGCCATTTGGGGAGTGAATCAGCAGATGGAAGATTCTCTCTCTGTCTCCTTTCTGTAAATCAAATCAAATAAACCTTTAAAAATAAAATTGTGAAACACTTCACAGATTATCATTTTCACATACTTAGTTCAATGGTTTTAAGTACATACACCATATATTTCTAGAACTGTTTTTATCTTTTTTTTTTTTTGACAGGCAGGCAGAGAGAGAGATAGAGAGAAAGGTCTTCCTTCCATTGGTTCACCCCCCAAATGGCCGCTACGGCCGGCGCACCGCGCTGATCCAAAGCCAGGAGCCAGGTGCTTCCTTCTGGTCTCCCATGCAGGTGCAGGGCCCAAGCACCTGGGCCATCCTCCACTGTACTCCTGGGCCACAGCAGAGAACTGGACTGGAAGAGGAGCAACCGGGACAGAATCTAGCGCCCCAACCGGGACTAGAACCCGGTGTGCCAGCGCCGCAGGCGGAGGATTAGCCTAGTGAGCCGTGGCGCCGGCCCTCTTTTTTTTTTTTTTTTTTTAAGATTGATTTATTTATTTGAGGGGCAGAGTGATGGAGAGAGAAGGAAAGAGAGTTATTGCATTCATTGGTTCATTCCTCAAATGCCCACAACAGCCAGCATTGGGCCAGGTTGAATGCAGGAGTTAGAAAGTACATCTGGGTCCCCCACATTGGTAGCAGGGACCCAAGTACTTGGGCCGTCTTCTGCTGCCTTCTCAGACACATTAGCAGGAAGTTGGATCAAAAGCATAATAGCCAGGACCCTAACGAGGCACTCTGATACGGGATTTAGGTGTCACAAGTGGTGGCCTAATCCACTGTCCCTTATCACCCATCTCTCTTCATCTTATCAAACTAAAACTAAGCCCATTAAACTAACTCCATCCCTCCTATTCTACTTACTGTCCGATGACACAAGAACCTATAGAATAGAATCACAGTATTTGTTCTTTGTAACTGGTTTATTTCACTTAGGAATGTGCCCTCAAGGTTGTAGCCTGTGTCACAATTTCTTTTCTGGGTATTATTTCCTGTATTCCCCATTCATCCGTCATCGGTGGACGTGGGCTGCTGCCGCCTTGAGCTCTTTCAAGTCACGCACCTGTGAGCATGGGTGTAAACATGTCTGAGATCCCCTTTCAGTTCTCCTGGGAAAACGCTCAGAAGTGGAAGTGCTGGATCCTGCGGTAGTGCTGTTTTCCACACTGCCCATTCTCCTCATCCATTTCCACCACCGATGCACAAGAGCTATTTCTGTACATTCTTGTCAACACTTTTTTCTGTCTCTAAAATAGTAGCTGTCTTAATGGGTGTGAGGTTGTGTCTTGTGGTTTTGATTTGCATTTTCCCAATGAATAGCATATCACATGTTCTTAGTACAGCTTTATAGCATTTGGCTTCATTAATTGTAAATCATACTTTGTATTTGCTGTTTATATTGGTATCACTGAATTGGAATCAGTATTCACTGATTGCAAAAGAACTTTTGCTATGAAACTGCTATACTTCTGGAGAGTTAGGAGACTATTATATAACTAGAACTTAAGATTTCTCTCTGGGTTTTAGAGTCAGTGTGCCAAATTCTCCCCAAACAAATGACTGTGTAAAATTGGGATATCTTATATACTTGCACTTTTTTTTTAAAGATTTATTTATTTATTTGAAAGTCAGAGTTACACAGAGAAGGAGAGGCAGAGAGAGAGGTCTTCATCCAATTGTTCATTCCTCAATTGGCCGCAATGGCTGGAGCCGTGCCGATCTGAAGCCAAGAGCCAGGAGCCTCCTCCCAGTCTCCCGGCGCGAGTGCAGAAGCCCAAGGACTTGGGCCATCTTCCACTGTTTTCCCAGATGATAGCAGAGAGCTGGATCAGAAGTGGAACAGCCGGAAATAGAAGCAGCGTCCATATGGGATGCCGGCGCTGCAGGTGGTTGCTTTTACCTGCTGCACCACAGCACCGGCCTCACCTGTACTTCTTAAGTTCTGGAAAAAAATTAAGAATAGATAGAATGCCCCGATTAAAAAAATACCCTGTTTAGAACTGAATGCAGAATATTGATTCTAAATGTCTCTGAGCCCCAACACTTTTCAAACGGTAGCACTGAAGTGGCTGAGAATACATTGACAGTTCTCTAGTTTTCCCGTGCTTAATTTTGCTACTTTATTTTTGTTATTATTTATCAAGTGGCTGTGACTGGTTGTAAAGTTCTACTGGTTTTTGCCTTATAACTAACATGTTCATTGCAGAAAAAGAAGAAAATAAAGTTTACCTACCCCGTAATCCTGAGAGCAGTGCTATTAACATTTGGCATGTAATTCCAGTATATATTTTTTCTTTTTAAAGATTTCTTTATTTAAAAGAATGACAGAGTCAGAGAGACAGAGATCTTTTATCCTGTGGTTCACTCCCCAAGTGACCACAACAGGACCCAGCAGAAGCCAAGAGCCAGAAACTCCATATGGGTCTCCCACATGAGTGATGGGAACTCAAGTACTTGGGCCATCCTCTGCTGCCATCCCAGGCATATTAGAGGGAGCTGGATTGGAAGGAAACAGAGCAGCCAGGACAAACTGGCAGTCCGAGGTGAGATGCCACCTCACAAGTGGTGGCTTAACCCGCTGCGCCACAACATCAGCCCACAGCAATTTTTTGTAATGCACCGTCTGTAGCCATGCATGAGTGCATGCACACATACATTTATGAACTTGCAAACATTAAAATATGTAAAGATGAAAAGATACTTTTATTTTCCCAAGATGAATCGCACAACACTCAAAGATACCC